AAACCAGCACCATTCAGGGTTTTCCACCCTGTTGGGTTTTTTTAGGGCTACCACGCGACTTGCTGCGATGCGCCAAGGTGCGTTTCTGTGAAGTGCTACGTGATCTAGGACTTCGAGATCGTAGCAACCGTTCACAGAGTTGCACAACTTGGTCACCTCTGAATCCTGGCGCTCTGTTTGTCGCAGATAGAATATACGTTGGAGACGGGTCTGCTGGATATCTCCAGTATTTTATCTGCTGAGGCTGCCAGGTCGTCGAGTGGGACTGACTGGAGTGTCACCAACACGGTTTGCACCGGTTGTGGTAGTTTCGAGAGAAATAGTTCTCGGAAGAAACCATCGTCAAATGTTCGTGCACCGATTACTTCTCGCATGCGTGCGAGGACTTCAGTAGCTGAGTGGCTGCCTAGCTCGATGTTACGAAGCAATTCGTCTAGACGTTGGCGATCTGTGAGATCGCTTTTCTTCAAGAGTGCGGCCTTTAGAAGTGCATAAGGGTCACTTACTTCAGGATTAAACATGTTTGCTGTAACATACCTGTTTAATTCTCGCGGTAGTGACCGTATGACAGCAAGAAATCGAGAATGAGGATCTGAGACACCCTGTTCTCGAAAATCGGCCTCGGCATACAGAAACCATGTTTCTGCATTGTCTGGCCAATATGGCACGAGTTGGATCGTGTTCGTAGTCGGCTTAATACGAATAAGCTTGGGAGTGTGGTCGGACATGAGAAAGTGTAGTAAATGGATATATAATCGAAATGAAAACAATAAACAAATATAAAATGGAACAGGCTCACCAATTCAATACTTGTTATTGGTCGGGATATGTGATCACGTCGGGCTCACCAATTTAGGATTTGTCCTGGTGCGAACTTGACAGACGCAAAGACCAATCACTAATTATTCGAACTTGTTATATACCCACGAATACGAGACCAAGGAAGAACACGATAGCGTAGTCGGATGGAATAGTATATTTGGATGGTTATGCCAAAATACCGATGCGTTCCAACTAACTGGCTAGAGAGTCGAATACGAGCAATGCAACGTAACACGACAGCGTGCCAAATGGCGAGGATGCTTGACCGGGTGCCTTCAGCTTAGCGAGTCCAGTTAAACTATCAAGGTCAGCATCAATGTCGAAAGTCGTCAAACCCTAGGCTATTGATTTTGGGGAAGTGTGTGACGCTACAGTATCAACGTGATGAAGCCTGTAAACTGGCTTCTCCCATGTTAAAATCATTTTTTAACACGAGAATAAAACACTTATTTATTTATTTATTCAAGATTTGGGTTATTTCTGAATGATTCGTAATGCTCTCCGGAAACCCTTACAACCGCCCGGTGATAAAGTTTACATGGTTTCAGCGGAAAAGGAAACTTCTTTGCCGTCGACAGACTGAAACGGCAAGGTACCGAAATCTTCCACCCCTTAAGGACAGTTTACGTTGATGAAGATTCGACCTTACCTCCGCTGACGTCGCCGGTGCAGCAACTGATACAAAAAACAGAGAAAGACTCTTTGGTTCAAAGATAGGGGCTCTGCTAGCAAAAAAATGACCAGCGGTAGTGATAAAGTGCCGTCTTTGCGTGTCAGTCAACACGTTCACGGGCACAGGTGCCCAACAAAGTCCATCACTTAGCTGTCCGAAAATATGAGGTTCAGCGAAGCCCGATTGGCGTCGGTACGCTCTCGCTTATGCGTCTGCTAGCCAGTTTCTGCTGTGCAAGAGCTATGTTGCAAATCTTTGAGAAAATTACAGAGGTGGTGAAAATATACACGCAGAAAAGGGTTTTGATGTCTGTTGTTATAGTTTCGTTTGCATCACTTCCCATCTGCGAGTGCCATGCGGTTTTACCTTAATCCCTTGCTGTGTCTTTCTTCGCTTCACACCGGTAGAAACTTTTTATCGGATACAGGTTGAACAGGAGGATACCAGTTGGATCGTTCATCCGTATTTTGCACCGACCCTCTTTGGACATTTCCCACTGCAGCTTAAGGTTTACCAAAAATTTGAAAGGATGCCTCGGAACACTTAAAATCACTGAGAAAAGGTTGGCATTCATCATGAATTGGCACCAGTTGGAGGGACATTGGAAACCTTAGAACATTGGACAGCTGCCTCGTCCCCGTATGGGACTTATCGGCAATATACATCCATGACCCCACTACGCGAGCTATCGAGACCATCTGTCCAGTGCTCCTGGGTTTCCAATATTTCTCCGATCGATGACAGTACATGGTGAGCACCAACTCGAAATCAATGGATCCCCACAAACCCCTCAGTTTGAATTGATCCAGCACTCAGTGGTGACCAGATTCGGGGTTGATTCCTGAAGCCCCAGTGAGAGGTTGTGACCGGTGAGGTGAACCCCAGCGAAAACGTTGGGTGGCGGTCACGCTGTGCCATGAACTAACAGAGGTTGGAAATATGGGCCGCTGGCTCAGTAGTTACGTGCTGGTCACGGAAACTGAAATTCCTGGGTTCGACCCCCGACCAGACGAGGTTCTGGGTGCGTAATGCCGAGAAGTCCCATACTGGGACGAACGGTTGTCCGGTGTGCCCAGGTTTCGAACCGTTCTTCAGCTGATGTTGTTCCATGGTGAATACCGACTTGAAATCAGCAAATCCCCACAAACCCTAAATTGGACCGAGAGAAGGGTTACGTCGGGACGCTAGGTTCGCTATCTCGTGAGGACGGAAAGTGAACTAGCTTCGGAGACTCACACGGTACCTACTCCATTCGGAACATGAAAAAACCTTGCATATTGGCCTAACAGTTGCCTCCATGTGCTTCTACATATTTTCTCTTTGAATATGCCACTACAGGAACCAATTACATTTGTCGACAGCGTAGAGGATGTTTGGACAGCCGCATACCAAAACACAAATGGGGCCCGGCCGTGATAGAGGCCAGGCCGGAGTAGGCAACTGATTTCGCCTCACTCCAGCCTATGTGCATACCAGCTATTTTCTAAGGGCATCAGTGTTGTGAAAGTGACTCAGCTTTGCACTTTTCCAATATGTGCCTTACCTCTCCAGGCGCAGAAGTGGTGCCAACGTCAACATCTCCACTTCCTTTACCCCCACCGCAATTTCCCCCTTTTCTTTCCTTCTCCTGACTCTACGATTTCAATCTATCCACCAAGGTTCCCTGTATCTACTTTCTACCCCGTCTTCCTGGAATTTACCCGGATATCTCCTCTCCTTGCACCTTCCGCACAGCACTCATTTCCCTCCTTTTCTTCAGACTTGGATTCGTGGCCGGAGGACTGTTAATTCAATGCTATCACGCCTGAGTCGGTTAGTGATGCCACCGCCACTTCTTCTGGTAGTCGGTTATAGGAGTTGATTGCCAGGCAGCAGAACCACCACCATGACAGGACTACCTTCTTCCTTTGTTTTCGTCCCCTGAAGTGTCGTGACCCAGTTGGAAAGAAAGGGGAGAATAGGCCACGTCCAAAGTCGCTTGCCAAAGTCCCATGTAGCATGATTAGTTCTCCTTTCTCTGTAAAGAGGTGAATAGAACAGGCTCAGCTTCTAGTGCCAATCTTCGTGTGAGTCACTGCCTTCTGAACACTTTCTAGAAGGCATAAGTCCCCTTTCAGACAAGGATTTCCCCCTTTTTACAGTTTTCTGGTTGAGACCTAACCCATGATGTGAATAAGGTGATGAAAACAGTGCCACTCACTTTCACAAACGTTCTGTGTAATGGCAGTAGCGTGTTTATACTCCTGGCAGCGATCAACCAACAGTTCACTATCGTCTTTAGATCATAACTCACTGTGACTCCTAGGTCATTGTCAGTCATTACTGAGGGTTGTGGAGTTCCATTAATATCATGGATGTTGCTGTCCACGTGTATGCTTACACACTGACATGCTCTGGTAGACAACAGCCCTTTGCGTGGCCAGGCAAACAATCTCTTTAGGTCTGTGTGAGGTGTAGGTGCATCCTCCCCTTCCCTAATTTCTCGCCAGAATCTCCTGTCATCGGTGACGAGGACCATAGGGGACTTCGTGATATTTGGCAGGTCATTTATGCATAGGAGATAAAGCAGAGAACCCAGGACTGCGTAATGGCATTCCAATTTTTACCGACTTACAAGAGGAAAGTTGAGTATAGATCCTTGCTCTTTGTCTCCAATCAGCAATGAACTCTGGTCCATGCAGATGGATCGCCAGAGATCCTAAGACTTTACAGTTTCTTGCTTAACGTAAAAATGAGGTACCTTGACGAGCGACTTACGAGCGTCCACGAAAATGGCCTGTATATGACGCAGAAATAACACCTTAACCATACATCTGATGATTAGATCATTGTTGAATAACGCATAAGGAATTGGGGTGGAGTGATTAATTCAAACTTCAAAATACACCACGAGGAATGAACACTTGTCATATCCAGTAAACATGTTATTCGTCGCATAAAACATCAGTATAAAAGCACCACAGGCAATCTTGGGCGTTAGAGCTTGCTTAGTGGCCCACTGAGGAATCCAAAATGCGCTTTCCGTCCATTTTGCTGCAGTTTAGCAACGCGAAATTACAAGTATCGATAGGCAAGTGCCCGACGCACCTGCATACATACATACATCTCTCGATAAATTTCACCAACACTGAACCATTCTTCAATTTTTATACAGCTAAAGACCTCAAGCGGGTGAATTTACTACGACACTATCCACCGAACAACTGGAGCCATTCCGCAAGACTTAGGGAGGAGGGTGAAAAACCACTCAGAGTATACACGCTTCCAAAATATTTTGGAATGGAGCTCAGATTTTCACGGAGCTTAGTCAGTGACTGGATTTGTTGCTGGAGATTTTTGACAGCCCACTCAGTGAATGCTTTCTAAACGAAACTAGATCTTTGAAGCAGCGTTAACTGCCAAGAACAACACAGGTTACCTGACTTACTATCCTCAATAGTGAAGGTTATTTATTGTTTGATAGAGGCAAATTAATGTACAATTTTTGCGAGGTACATTAAGTGACATGTCTTCTAAGGCAGTTTTCGAAGAGTCTGCGAAGTCAATTATTTACCGGTCTATATGTTACCCAAAATTATCGAAAAATCCACTGAGGGTTTTAAAGGCGTCCGATGATATCCATTCAATCAATGATGAGTGGATATTAAGCAACGTATTGAAGATCATAACATTTATATGAATACCTGTTTTTTTAGGATCTTGTCAGTAAACCGGATGTTCTTATCAAACGGAGAGGAAAACTCGGCTTAGTATTTGCTGGATTGAAGTGGAAAGATTTGCAGACGAAGCTGACCAGTGTTGTTGGAAATCAACTCAATGTGAGTACCTTGTAACAACAATATTGTTAATGCAATGAGCAGTAAATTATTAATTTGTTTGCCTGTTCAGTATCACACGGAGTTATTTCTGTAGCACTTTCTATTCGTATTTGTTTTATTTGACCTTATTATGAAACTTTCCACCCCGAGTTTAGCCCCACGAAAGTGTTGACTGAGATACATTATCTATTGTCCATAACGTACGATAAAATTAGTTTCTCTTGCTTCTCAAGACAGGCGTCAATAACAAGACACACTAATTCTTGGACTCAATAACAAGCTCACGTCAAATATGCCAACTCTCAGCAAAGTTAATTATCAGAAAATGGTTTGGTGAGTTGTAGTAAATTACACCTTATCCGTGGTCATTTTCCAACCTTGTGTTGGGATTCTGTAGGAAACTTGCATGACTCAGTACTGTCTTAAATGCTTTGTTGGAGGCCCTAAATGGTTTGAAATCTCAGAATGCATCTTATTTTTTCGTACTACTTCAGAAACGCGAACACTTGGAAAGGAGCTAGTTGGATTTCTATGAATTCCTTAGAAAGCTGTCTGTTTTGCTCCAAAAAGCGAAACGTTCAGTTTCATTCATAATGGCAGGTAACTTAATTGTTCAAGTAGGGGAGTTGAGCCGATCCGAAAGGCATCTTGGGCGTATTTACACAATCCCATGTAAACGAATCGACAACTGGTCGTCTGTTGCAGTTTTGTTCCGACAACCACTTGTTTCTGGCCAACAATAACTTTAGACATAAGGAGAGATGTATCACATGGTACTTATCGACATCAAGCCAACGGTAGACACAGATGGATCATATTGCCATCAGTAATCGTTTGAGAGGATCGGTGGAGGATTGCCGATGTTTCTGGAGTAGGTATTTCAACTCCGATTAGGCGCTAGTGTGGGCTCGTGTGTCAACATCATATTGTTCACACAAAACAGGTGGTAGTAAAGCCTGTGTGTCATCGATTGTAAGATGATAATGTCAAGTGCGTAATAAGGGGAGAGTTAGCTAAAAATTCATCTGAACGTGAGAGCAATGCTCATTCTGAGAAGTCCTAGTGTACTATTGAGTCTACGTTATAAATAACGGTAAATACGGTTGGTAACCTATACCTGCAGGTGAGCGAACGTCACTGGGATCCCGTGACGTCATTCGAAGTGGTTTGTGCAAGAAGACTGATTCCAGCTGGCTGTGACCACAATGAAAAGCGAAAGCAACTGAAACATAAATTGACCAGGATTCTTCGCACTTATCGTGAGAAGTAGTTGGTGGCCAAGTGGAGACAGAGATGGAGAAGACACCGGCTTTGGATGGCACTCGGCAACTGTTTAGGCTTATTAAAGATACTGGCAAGAAGAAAACGAGGGTTAGTGAAATCATCACCGTAAAGAGTGGGACTTTGATAACCTCCCAAGTCAGGGGGCTAAAACGTTGGGCAGAGCACTTTGAAACACAGTTTGACCAGCCCTCAGCAACGCTTCAGTTGCCCAACATTCAGCCTGAACTGGACACAGATGTTGGTTCTCTAACTCGCTTTGAGAAGACTCTATCGAACCTAACGATAGAGGCAAGAAGTTTCTGGTTAAACTGACGGGGGTACTAGGTAGTATTTGGGAATCAGAGGTAGTGGCGCCAGGCTGGTCTAATTCACTGATCATCCCAGTTTATAAGAAGGGGGAGAAGCTTTGTAACGACCCTTAGTGTATGTTTGACTAATATCATGTCTAAGGTCCTAAGATCCATAGTTATCCGACGCCTAACTGAAGCTGGAGGACAACAAATTCGAGCGAAACAGGCAGGTTTCAGATCTGGACGAGGCTGTATTGGTCAGATTTTCACCCTTCGACAGGTTCCGAACCTAAGGTATACTTGCTGTCGCCTGACACACATTTCGCGACCTGAGTGTGGCATTTGACTTTGTCAACCATCAGGTCTTGTGGCAGTGTCTGATTGAAGTACTGAGCAAGTATGTTATACTTATCAAAGTTCTCTACTCGGACTCACATAGCCTTATAAGGGCTTAAAGAGAGTGATGAAGTGAGTTGGCAACAACTAATGCTGTCGGGCAGGGATGTCTACGGTCACCGTTCGTATTCAACTTCGTCACAGACGTACTTATAGACATAATGTTAGGTACGTCTTACTTTACTAGGATTGACCTACTTCCTGAAGGTCATGAGGTTCACTTCAAGTATGCAGAGTATTCTAAACCCGTTGAGCGGAAATCTGAGAATGTTTGGCATGCGTTTCGCCTACACCTGTCAAATGTAAGATGATGTTCCAGCGAAGGCCTGCAACTAATCCCAGTTTAATGATGAGCGAAGTCGTTGAATTTACTGGCCATTTCACTTACTTCGTCGTTCCACCAGTCAGAAAGGTGTGGTTGCTGACTGAAAGTCAGCTAGGATACTGAAGGTCTCATTGGTATTTGCTAACTTATGTAATCTGTGGCTCCAACTGGCAAGATATCCGACTACTTATCAGAGAATGAGTATACTGCGCTACAGTTCGTTGTCATGTCATACGGTTTTGAGACATGGGGGATTCCATACTTACCACGTGGGTCATATTTCATATAACGCACTAGCGTTCTAGGTGATTTTTACCACTAAATGTACTAATTTTTCCTTGTTTTTCAAAGTTACTACAAACACTATAAATAGGGTCCAATTTTAGTATAAGGCACTATAAACTCAAGTGATTACCAGTCTTCTAATTTCCCTTACTGAATCACCCGGGTTGATTCGTCTCAACCCTCGATTCTCAATTGTTTTATTATCGTTCCTTCTCATAACTCCGCATCGTAACACAGCGGCTGTTAACATGTTGAGATTTACAGGAATATAAAGCATTAATCAGTTTACCTCGCTGCTACTGATTTCACAATGTAAACAACCACTCTATCATTATGAAAATTGCCTTTTAGATAGTAAATCCCATACAAGGTATCATATGAAGTGAATTGAATTACACTGCTCATAATAGAGGTATCACTCATTGGTGTGAGCGCTTTTGACCGAAAATGCGTGTTAAAACCCTGCTAATTGCTCCAGCCTGAGCAACCCGGGTACAATCATAAGTCTTCATACAGTAAGTGTGGCTCGTACACAAAATCTGTACTTGGTTGAGTTAAATTATAGTAATAGGTATGTACGACATCTTTTCCGGGATATATTGTTCTAGTTAGTTGTTCTATTGTATTAAGATGTAACATTATGTTTAATTCCTCAATAATCCATCAATCCTTGTTTGAAAGTCCTTTATAAGTGGTCTTTATGTTTTCAACGTTAATTTTTTTTTATTATCAAAGGCATCACAAACCGCTCTTCAACTCTTCTTAGTGAAATCTTCAGTTCGACTAGATTATTCAGTTATTTTACGTAAATTGTATAAATGACTAAAGATTTATTGTTATCATCCTTGTTATTTAGTGCAGTATAGAAACTAAGATACGCACTATAAAATGATATTACATCATTATTGCAATATTATTATTTGTCCCTTGGGTTCCTAATGGAACATAGGGCTTCAGTAGCACGCCTCCATTGCACTCTTTTCTCTGCAGTCTTTTCAACCTGGCGCCAAGACTGCCCATATGCTTTCATTTCTTCCTCACACCATCTCCTCCATGTCACCCTCACACATCCAACTCTCTGTTTCCCCTTCGGATTCCATTCGAGGGCCTGGCGCGTGATGTCTTCGAATAATTTTCTCAGTGTATGCCCAATCCAATCCATCTCCACTTTCTTCTGCATATTTGTTGAGTGATAGGTTCTCGGTTGGTTCGTTCCAAGAGTTTCTTGTTGCTTATTATTATTCTGGTCATCTAATATGACCTTCAGCTGTTGATGAATGTCTGTAGTTTGTTGAAATTGCTTTTCGTGACACGCTGAGTTTCTGAACCATATAACAGCATTGACTTGACATTGGTGTTGAAAATCCGGATGTTATTCTTTGCGCTGAATGCAGTAGATCTTCACACTGACTTCAGATTAACGAAAGCCGGTCCTGCTTTTCCGATCCTGGTTTTGACATCTTTGTCTGTGCCACTGCCTCTGGTTGAAACGATGCTGCCTAGATAGGTGAAAGAGGCTACTTCTTTTAAGTTTCTCCCGTTGATGGTGATGAGAGCTTGTTGTTGTTGGTGATGGCGTTGGTTGGGTATCATCATCACCTCTGTCTTCTCTACGTTAACTTGAAGTCCAGTCTTCGCTGCCCTGCTCTGCCTCTTCTGTCAACTTGTTAGTTTTTGCCTGTAGATCTTCGAGTTTGTGCGACATTAAACAAATCATCGTCAGAAAAATCCAAATCTTCTTCTAGCCTCTTTTCATCGGTCCAGAGTATGCCCATCTCGCTCCTCACAGTTTGATGCATAATCCAGTCAACCACAATCAGAAAGATTATGGGTGGTACTAGGCAGCCTTGTCATACTCTTGTCTTCCCTTCGAAGGCGTCACTGAGCTTTCCATTGTGGGTCACTTGGCATATGACCTTTTCATATAGCTGTTGAATGAGGTTGATAAAGATTTGTGGCACTCTGTATTGTTGAAGCCGCAGCTGTCAAGTTACTTCTTGGTCGACGCTGTCGAAGGCCTTTTCAAAGTTGACATAGTTGAGGTAGAGAGTTGACTGCCATTCTATACTCTGTTCTATGATGATGCGTAGCGTTGCAATTTGATCTGCGCATGATTTATTCTTCCTGAATTCAGTCAGCCTGTTCCGGTCGTAATTTCGAATCAAGCGCATCTTTTAGTCTTTCCAGGATGATGCAGCATAATATTTTGCTTGGGGTGGACAGCAGCATGATTCCTCTCCAGTTCTTGCAATGACTTAGGTCGCCCTTCTTTGGGAGTTTGACAAGGTGGTCTTTCTTCCAATCAATTGTCAGGTACCTTTCCTTCTTTTCAAACCTTCTGCAGTAGTGGTGCGAGCATGTCGTCTGTTGTCTCTGCGTCTGTTTTCAGTGCTTGTGACAGATTTCCATCTGGTCCTGCTGCTTTTCCGCATTTCAGCAGTTTTATGGCATTCAGGACTTCTGCTTTTGTCGGAGGGCCTGTGTTCACTTGCAGTTCTGGAGTTGCTGGTGGTATTTTCGGACGAGTTGCAGGTGGTGGCGGCGGTCGATTCGAGAACTTTTGAAGTAGTCACCCCATCGTTTCCTTTGTTTCCCCTCTTTGGCGGTAACTAGGTTTCCTTCACTATCTTTCATTGGTTTCGTCTGCTTTGATCTCTTCCCAGATGGTAATCTGGTTATTTGATATGAAGTCACGTCTCTCCTACCTGCAGCCTGTTCGGCTTCGCTTGGCAATATGTCTTGGAAGTGTCTTTTGTTTTTCCGCGCACTCTTCTTCATTTCTTTGTCCAGTGTTTTATAGGTTGTGTTCAGTTCTTCTTTTCGTTGTGCATCCTCGACTGTTTCAGCTTCTGCTTCACCATCCTCCTCTCCCTGCTCTATCAGCTTCCATGTTGTCCGTGGAGATCCATTCCTTGTCTTGTTTCCTCTTCCTTCCTAATACGGTTATGCAGGTTTCCTTCCACATAGCTTTCAAAGAGTTCTAGTGTTCTTCCTGGCCCGATCCTTCAGGGATGTTGGTCAATGTCTCCCATTTTTTCCTGATGGCTGACGTGAAGATGTCCTTTGAAGTTTCGTCCTTCAGTGTCTGTTTTGGGTATAGAACTTAAACTGTGGTCTATCACCAACTTCCTTGAAGGCTTTTCACTTGATTTGGAAGGTTCCTTGCACTAGATAGTGAATGGTCCGAATTTACATCTGCTCCTCTTCTTGATTTTGTTTTCCGTAGACTGCGTCTCCACTCTCTTCAGATTGAGATAAAGTCGATCTGATTCTTAGTGTGTCCATCTGTTGAAGTCCATATCGTTTCGTGAATGTCCTTGTGTTTGTACACTGCCTCCAATCACCAAATCGTTGAGTGCACACAATTCTGCAAAAAGGTCTCCATTCTCATTCATTTCACTGAGTGCTTCTCGACCCATGATGAGTTCTCTTCCTGTGTTGTCCGGTCCCAGTTTCGCATTCACGTCACCCATTAGAATTTTGATGTTGCCAACTGGAGTCTTGTCCAGTACTGATTGCAGTTGTCTGTAGAATTCCTCCTTCTTCTCTTCATCTGCATTATTTGTAGGTGCATAGCGTAGCGTTGAATGATTGTGACTTTCCTTCCTTTGGAGTTGAATCTTGCTGTCATGGTCCTGGAGGAGACTGGTTCCCACTGTATGAGAGCCTTCGATGTTCTCGAAGACATCATGATAGGCACTCTAAAACTCAGTGTGCTCGTGGTTGCCGTGTGAGTGACAATATCGGAGTAGGTTATTGACTCTCCAGTTGACAGTTTGGAGAGTCCACTTCCATTCCATCTGTAGATACCTCGCAGATTCCAAGCATTTCTATGCCATACCTTCTAATCTCTTTTGCAATCTGGGCAGCCTTGCTAGGTTCAAACGTGGTGCGAACATTCCATGTCCCCATGTTTACTTTCGCTTTCATCGAGAGAAGCGAAGACACATCGGCGAATTGGCTTCCCGAAGACAGGCCTTCACCAACCGGCATCATTTCGCCTCTCCGATTCCAGTGAGGAATAGTATTGTTTTTATTTTTTATATTTTGTTTGTGGTTTGAAGTTTCTGTAGCGGTTAGATTTATTTTCCGGAGTAGGGTTGCTAGTCCTATGCCCAACCTTCCCTCTTTATCCGGCCTTGGAACCAGCTAGTAACTAGTGAACTAGTTAACCAGGCGGGGTTAATATAACATTGAACAGTCAAAATTGATAGGGGGGGGGGAAGAGAAATGTATACAGAAAATTAAGTGGGCTATCGAAGAAGCTGTATAGAAAATATATTTGAAGAAGCGTTTGTTTATTTTGTATTTTCTTTTCGACATCAATATCACTGAATTCATTTCTAAACTATAACTACGAAATTCTTTAACTTCTGAGTCGATGAATCTCCCAGACCTCTTCCAAAAGTTGATTCACTAGTAGATGGTTATCTTTCATCCTACCAAATGATCACAGTACATCTGTGTTCTTTAATAAATCTGTTTATCAGTTTCCTTGATGACTCCCTTTAAGATGAGATTCCTGATGTACCAATAAGAAGTTGTGACCGGTTGAGGTGAATATGGTTGTTAATCGACGGCATTGGATGGAGGTGGCGCTTTGTCGTGAACTAGCAGAAGTAAGAAATATGAACCATTGGATATCGACTCGGTGACTCAAAGGCAACTTACTGGCCTCAGATCCCGAAGGTCCTAGGCCCCATCCCTGGGGCTGCGAAGTCCCATGCATGGATGAAACAGGTTTCCAATGTTTCTCCAATTGATGTCACAGTCTTTAATAAATACTAACCTGAGATCACTAAATGATTAAATCCTCATAAACCTCGAAATTGAACTTATCAGTTTCCCTGGAAAACTAGTTGGAAGCTGTTAGCACATATTTTGGTACTTTATTTCGCTGGGTTTTTGGTGTTTTCAACTTGAATAATCGTTAGTCTTATGAGACAGTTCTGTTTAATACCCATTCTGTATTAAATCTAATAATGCTTTACATTCGTTACTTACTTTTTTCAGGTTGGTTCTACTTCTGGAATTCTTGATCGCTTCATTATTGAACCGTTTGTACCTCATGAACAGGTAATTTCCCATTGAAATAGAATTCAGATATATGTGTACATATATTGTATGAAACTGGGCTTTAATGATCAAGACATATGACTTAGCCAACATTTCACGAGCCTCAAGTTTTTCTGCTCAGTTTTCTTTGATGGTATCGTAAACTATTACAAATTGATATGGCTTGTCCTAGAACATAAACTTTACATGAACTTTAGGTATATCTTGTATATCTTTAGGCTCATCGGTGTAGGCATTCATCTTTAAATCGTTACATCTAACGAAGTGTAACTCCTAGGCATTGTAATCCACGCTTATACTATTTATTGATTAGTCAGTAGAGAAGAACCATTTTCATGTTTTCTAGTCTTGAGTACTAACCGCATTCTATCGAACATTTTGAAAGGTGACCATCAAGGTAAAAAGCTCACCAATGCAGTGTAGTTTGTTAGGTGTTAGTTGGTTGGAGCCAATTAGCAAGATGCCCTATGCCTAGGTTTCATGTTTTTTTTTGCACCCGTCAACAAGGCATATCTACAACCTCCAGAGAACTGGTGTCCCTCGTGAGATTTGAACTCGCGTCACCCAGTGTTACAGTCAGCGATGTTACATGATACATAAGATCTATTGTCCAGTGTGTAAATCTTCATATCCCTACTGAGTTAACTTGCTTTCTTTTAATATATACGTATACTTGTATAACTTCTGTTGCTTATTTCTTTTGAAAATTGAAATTTATTGGAAATCTTTGGATTCATGAAGTCTGAGGAGTATTACCTGTGTATATACACCCAGAGAGATAGCAATGTTATTCTCTTTCATCATGAAGGTGGTATGGATGTTGGTGAGGTAGATTCCAAGGTAGGTGTTAGTGATTATAACTACATTTTTATTCCTCAAAATGCTTTTTAGTATTTTATCAGTTTGTTTTAAACTAGATTCTACTAAATATTTTCATCATGTTATTCAGATGGTATAATTTATGGGATCTCATCATCATCATCATCATCATCGATATCAATATAGGACCAGAGATTACTGCGTAACGGTCAGAGTTGCCACAGCTTAGTACAGTACATCAAGTAAAAAGGTAGTGAGGTGAAGGGTGAAGATAAGAGAATGCAGTCAAAAGAAATATAAAGTAAGAGGAGGAAGAAAGGAAGAATGACAAAATGGTGAGATTCGGTATAGCGTCATTAAGATGAGGATAATGTGTGTGGTGATACACTTGCGCCACTGACGTCGGTTGTGAATCATGTGATCACCTAGAGTCTCCAACCATTGTTGGTTCCTCTTGTCCCGTGGACCCGAACCACCTAGTGTGCATCTCCCTATATGGCTTAAACCAGTAGTCAAAGACTTGATACATTGGTGCTATGTTTTAGTTTGACCACGTCTGGCCTTTTTCCAGCTTGGACCAACTTCGGTGAACATTGTGTGACGAGGCGATTGGTGACTAGGCATACATAGTGCGTGTCCCAACCAGGCATCTTAGTCGATGAAGGTTCATGACCTGGTCAACTAACTTGCCTCTACTTCCTAAAACTGTATACCTGACTTGTGCATTACTCACGTGGTGTGGTGACACTACGGAATACGGCCTATGCTACGAAGGCGACGGTGGTTACACACTTGAAGCCTTCTCATGTCTTCCACCTTCAATGGCCATGTTTCACAGCCATACAGGAGAACAGACTGGACTGCTGTGCAGCACACGTGACCCTTAATAGACAAACGGATCTAATAATTTCAAAGTTCATTTAGTATTTCTAAGGCCGATCTTTCGCTATTGAGACATAAGGAATGGTAAGTTTGGAGTTGTATGGAGGGAATTAATGATTTGAAGATAAAGGTTAAGGCAAATATTTCAGCTCTAGATGACATCAAAGAAGGAATACATCTGCGCTACAGACAGATGCCTTGATTTTACTCCCTTCAAGTGGTTTGATCGAACCCTGTAGAGAATTTTGAATGAGCTTTGGAAAGGAGCCAAGTGACCTGAGTTCACGATACCAATCTAAAGTGACAGAACTATAAATAGAGCGGACGAAGAAAGTGGTGTGATTACATCTGGCATGATTATGAGGAGTGGATAATTTATGCTCGAAATATCATGAAGTCAGTAACACTCGATTACTGTTTGTTACAAATCAAATAAACAAATCTAATATGAAATTAAATCCTACCATAGAGCGATGGATAGTTGTTTCGTCCTAGCAGGGAACTCCTCAACAGTGCACACTCATAACCCAGCACTTTCAGGTTCTCTGGCGAGCGTGTATCAGTGGAGTCCAAGTTCGATCCTTGACGTGGCGGGCTCATGGGTGCGCACTTGTATTTATACTGAGTGGTGATTGAAGGTGAGATGAAAATCTGGTCGAGTTCGAACCCGGTGGTCACCTTAAGCACAGATTTCTTTTGCATTTTGTTGCTGCTATTTAACGTCCAGTTTACACTATTGGCTTATTGATTAGCGATTTTGCAATGTATAATAGTATTTATTATATTATTATTACTGTTATTTGTCCTTCGGATTCCTAGTGGAACATAGAGCTTCAGTAGCACGTCGCCATTTCAATCTGTTCTCTTCAGTCTTTCTAACCTGGTTCCAAAGCTGCCCAGAAGCTTTCATTTTTTCCTCACGAGTTCTCCTCCGTGTCACCTTCAGACGCCCAACTTGTCGTTTCTCATTTGGGTTCCACTCGAGGGCCTGGGTGTGGTGGTATAGCACTTGCGAATTCATGTACATATATATATATATATATATATATATATATATATATATATATATATATATATATCAATCCGTAACCTCATTGCGTTCATCTAGAACTTTTTACTCTTATCTGATTGGTTCCAATTAACCACTTTGTTGAATGTTAGTATGATTATAAGATTTTTGGGAATTAAATAATCGGAAGGAAAAAGAATTTTTATCTTCACAGACGAACCAGATGGAGGTTTTCGTGGGGATTTTTCTTATTTATTGATTTTAGGTTAGTATTCATCATGGATTATGACATTAATTGGAGAAACATTGAAAATCTGAGAGCATTGGATAACAGTACGCACGCATGACCCACCACGTCAGGGATCAAACGTATGACCTTCAGATTCTGTGACCAGAACATTATCACTGAGCCACTGGGTTCGGAGCTTAATTAACGATAAAGCGCCACCTCTATCCAATGTCGTCGATGAAGTAACTTTCTTCACTTTCACCACAAGTCACAACTTCTTATTAGAACTTCGAGAATCACTCCTCAAAGTACATTATCATTATTCAAGTGATCTACATCACTGCACATGGAACTATGAGTCAGTAGATCACCGATAGGGACCCTGTTTGGACAGCCGACCCTCCCCCTTACACTCAGATTCGAAGTTGTGATGAAATCAAACTGACACTATAATTTAGTAAGACTTCTTCAATAGTATATATCAAATATTGACTTGTTCAAGTATGTACTTTTTTGTTGTTGTGATTCCCTTGTTTTTAAAAAGAGAATCACTTTTCTTTATCTTTTGTATAGGCTAAACGTTTTGAAGTATCAGTTAAAAATATAATGAAATCTGATGAAACAATTAAAGCTGGTTGTTCAGTGAATGAGATACTAAAGAGTTCACTACTTTCAGAAGTGAAATGTCCTAAACGTACAAGGTGAGTAAGTGATACTTTTAACTTGTTAATTTGATTTATTTACAGGCTGTTCCCCTACTCCTAATATGTGTGTGTGTGTTTGTTTTCACTTACTGTAAATTCTTAGAAAATATTTGGGTTATTCTAGTTATAAAGTATATCCCATCTCAGGAAGTTTGACGATAAAGCTCTATCATTCCTCTATGGAATCTTATGCCAACGAACCAACACAGTGGGGATCGTCTTCTTGCAGTTTTGTTCCGACAACCACTTGTTTCTGGCCAACAATAACTTTAGGCATAAGGAGAGATGTATCACATGGTACTTATCGACATCAAGCCAACGGTAGACACAGATGGATCATATTGCCATCAGTAATCGTTTGAGAGGATCGGTGGAGGATTGCCGATGTTTCTGGAGTAGGTATTTTAACTCCGATTACGCGTTAGTGTGGGCTCGTGTATGTCTACACCATATTGTTAACACAAAACAGGTGGTAGTAAAGCCTGTGTGTCATCGATTGTAAGATGATAATGTCAAGTGCGTAATAAGGGGAGAGTTAGCTAAAAATTCATCTGAACGTGAGAGCAATGCTCATCCTGAGAAAACCTGGGATGGTACTGTCGGTTAGTAACCTACTTCATCTGCAGGTTAGGAAACGTTACTGGAGTTTTGTGACGTCATTCGAACTGTTTCGTACTAGGAGACTTAATCCAGCTGGCTCTGATCACAGTGAAGAGCGAAAGCAACTGGAACGTAAATTCACCAAGAGTCTTCGCATCGGTAGCGATCAGTGGTGGGTGGCGAAAGCAAGAGAAGGTTAGAGAAGACACCAGCTTTAGATAACACTCCGCAACTATTTCGGCTTATTAAAGATACTGGCAAGAAGAAGACGATGATAAGTTAAACCATCAGTGAAAAAGATGGATTCGTGATAATTTCTCAGGAAAGGAGGTATGAAAGTTTGGCGGAAGACTTTGAAGATTAGTTCCAGGCGTTTACAACCAAGCTTCAGTTGTCTTGCATCCATCCCGAACGTGAATTTGATGTTCGTGTCAGTCGTCTAGCTCTTCTCGAAGTTGAGAAGGCGATTTCTAAACTGAAACATTTCAAGTTTTCAGGACTTAATTGGTTGTTAGTTAACATAGGATTGAGCTTGATATAGAAGACTAAAAAAGGTCAGTCTATTTCAAGGTTCCAGTTTCTGAAGTATCTTACTTTTTGTGTTAGCTTCAAAAGGAAATGTAGAATTGTCCAGTCAGGATAATCACTGTTTAGAGACTTTAGCTGGTAGCTAAAAATCGGTCTCTATAGTTCAGAGGTGTTTACGCTTTAATATCTCAAGTTTTACAAGTAGTATTCATCATGGACTACTGACATTAATTGGGAAACTATTGAAAATATGGGAGCACTGGACACGTGTTTGATCGTAGTATGGGACTCTTGAGCAGTAGGCACCCACAACCCGGCTAGGGATGAAACTGAGAACGTTCAGGTTTCATGGCGAACACGTTAACCATTCAGCATTTTGGCTAACATTCATCTTTAAAATTCTGTTTACTTACAAATACTTCCTGCTTATATATCATTTTTTGTCACCTTACTTGTTCTTTGTATGATGCTGTAAAGTATGACATTTTCATCTCATACACTTTTATACAAAGTTCTAAATTGACTTTTTATTTATTCCTATTTTACATTGTTGTAGCATGACTTAAACTTTCTCGCCTAACTTCTAATTGTCCATAACTTTTTCACTAGGTAACTAATATTTAGTGACATGCTTCGCATACATTCACTTATTTCATACAGACATGGGAAAACTGAACGTAGAATGTTGCACACTAGTGCATCACTGCAAGTTGCCATAATTCAAAGTAGTATACAAAGGTCAAGGCTGAGAATCGACAATTTGAAGATTACAGTTAGTGTAAATATTCAAGGTTTATAAGACATCAACCATGTCACTAACAGTCAGTCCTCAATAACTGATTCATGTAATCTAGAATACCCCAGCTATGTAGTTGACAGTTCATCTCACTGCTCAAACCAACAGTCGGGGACTTCGTTCATTGGTGCCAAGTCTTCGTCTGGCTACCCTGGACCCTCTTTCAACCTAATCCAACTTCCCCTAACATGACATGCCAAGGTAGACAGAAGTTAGACATGTGCAGTACATGTCTAAGCTATCTCAGTTAACTAAGGTTCACAGCCTCATCAATCGACTTGCTGTCTTGCCTAGTACCCATCGCCTCACCTCAACATTGTTCACCTGATGATTCCACCAAACATGAGCTATCAGTACAATTGTTTTTATATCATACCGTCGTTGATTGAACCGAATTAATCGGTCTCTATTGGCATATAGGCTCCTGTGCGGATGCCTCGATACTGCCAGCGCTCTAATTATGTTAATGATGGATCGTGGCTAGCAGTCGAATCCAGGATGCTCATTTCGTCCTATTTAGGACTCGTCAGCTGGATGTACCAGCTTCCAAGTGAGTGTTGTCCCCACTGGGATAATGCTCTGGCGTTTAAAGCGATCGCTCCCGAGTCCGAATCCCGATGGGAACAACATCACTCCGCACTGGGAAGCAGGTACATCCAGCTGATGAGTCCTAAATAGGAAGAAATGCACATCCTAGATTCCACTGCTAGCCACGACCCATCATTAAAACGCGAGCTATGTTATGAAGACACCTGTGATCTAAACGCGGGAGTCGCTTCGTGTCTTCTGCTTGTAGCCGCTATGTCATACATCCATACGAAAGGGAAAAACGGACTGCATTGCAGTATTTCCGTTTTTTGATAGGTAGTCTGATGTCTTGCAAATCGGCGCCACAGTTGACGCAAGTTGGCAAATACCAAGGGGATCTTTGTATTCCAGCTGAGATTTCGTCGGAAACCACTGCGTTTGTGCTAATGTGATTTTTTAGTCCTGGAGCATCATCCTACATTTGATAAATGCAAGCGAAACGTGTGTTAAACATACTTAGATTTCTGCTCAACAGGTTGAGCATACTCTGCATTTCGTCAGCGTTTTCATCTGGCAGGACAGTATCGTCTGCATACTGCAAGTAAACTAGATGACCTCTAGGGAACAGGTCAATCCTTGTGATGAAGTAAGACGTACCAAGGTTATGTTCATTAGTACGTCTATAGGGAATTGAATTCGGAATGGGGACAATGAGCATCCTTGGTGGACAGCCAGTTCTCGGACAACTTTCCTCCGGCTTTTATAAGGCTGCGTGATTCTTATTATGAGATAGCTGTAAACTGTGTTACGTCATTGAATGGTGATGAGTTGACCTGTTGATAATGACACGATATGGCGTGGTATCAACAAGTGATATGTGCTTACAATTACGGGACTATCGATAAATTGTTTAGATTAGATCTATGACTTCCTTTAAAACTGATTGATGATCAAGTAAGACCGATGAATTCCTCGTATCTCATATTGTATCATCCCGTCAAGTAAACCTGCTGCCTAGAAATGTTCGTAGTGAATCATGATTAATAAAAGAGTCCTTAACGCGCGTCTCACCCTATCAGGCACTCGTTAATTGGATATCCCCAGCAAGAGACATGAATCAGTCGTCGGAGCGTTATCCACTGGGTTATTGCGGCGTAAAAGTCACTCCTTGAGATAAGGGCATAGTTTTCATCTTATAGTTTGTAATTTTTTATCGCTGATCGGCTACTGTGGTGTTTGAAATGATAGATCCTTGGTTCGAGTCCCTGTGGGAACAAAATCACTCACTGAGAAGCAGGTACATCAATCTGAAGAATCTTGAGTAGGACGAAACGGAGGTCCTACGATCCACCGCTTGCCTCTATCCATCCTTGCTATCTAACGAACTTCTCGGCAATATCAAGACGTCCGCATTGGATCTCAGATGTTAATTATGACCGTTTAGTTCTATCGAATCAATGAAGGAAAATAAGACGTTGTAGCACACAAGTTTACAACTGGTCCGGAGTAAGAGAAACTAGCAAACGACGGCTGATTACATCTTATTAATGTATTTTTAGGACAGCCTTACTGTTTATGATGTTAATATAATGGTGATTATGTAATTACTTTGCTTTGCATAGTGAAGAAGGTATTTTCACTGATTCTTATCCGTAGTTTACTTGGCTCTGCCTCACAGAGGAATCCAAGATGCGCGTTTCGTCCTAATCGCTACTCGTCAGCTGGATGTACCTGCATCCCAATGCGAGGTAGTGTTCCCAATGAGACTCGAACCTCGTAAAACAACACAGAATTACAACCATACTATTATTATTGTTTCTCACTTGGGTTCCTGGTGAAACATAGGGCTTCGGTAGCACGTCTCCATTCCACTCTCTTCTCTGCAGTCTTTTCAACCTGGCTCCACGACCGCCCACAAACTTTCATTCCCTCCTCACACGATGTCCTCTCTGTCACCGTCGGACGCTCGACTCGGCGTTTCTCATCTGGGTTCCACTCGAGGGCGCGTGATGTTCGCAAAATGGTCTTCTCAGTGTGTGCCCAGTCCATCTCCACTTCCTTCTGCATATTTGTTGAGCGATAGGTTCTTGGTTTGTTCTTTCTCAGAGTTCCTTGTTGCTTATTCTTTCTGGCCATCTGATCTGATATTCTGTATCGAGTGAGCGTAGGCGGCAGCTGTTGATAAATGTCTGTAGTCTGTTGGAAATGCTTTTCGTAAGGCGCCAAGTCTCTCAACCATCACATAGAAGCACTGACTTAACGTTGATATTGAAAATCGGGGTGTTGTTCACTCTTTATGCTGAGTGGAGTGCAGTGTAGTAGATCTCCACACTGATTTCAAATTAATGAGTGGTAGCCTGTCTTACGGTCTTTCCGATGTCGTTTCTGGCATCCTCATTTGTGCCTGCGCAGCAACCAGTAGTTGAGAGGATGCTGCCTAGGTAAGAAGGTAGGTGAAAGAGCCAACTTCATTTAGATTTCTTCCGTTGATGTGTTTAATGTTGTTGTTGTTGTTGGTTGGGTATCTTCATCACCTATGTCTTCTCTACGTTCACTTAAATTCTTCAATCGATCGAAATAAAACGAGTGGGTTAACCAGTTTTAACGATACTTATTCTTCAATTGACCGATGCAGACGAAATGTGTTTGTGTTGTACAGACTTGACTTACTTTTTTTATCCAGTGATGAGAATTATGCCACTTGAGTAGAGTGGCATTGAAGCTGATAAACTCAATAAGATAAAAGCCTTATAGGTTCATAGATCTTATCGTTACAATTAGATAAAACTTAGTTTTCAGATTGGGGAATAGATCATGGACTGACATCAGTTGGAGGAAGATTAGAAACCTGGGAATACCCGACAACTGTTTCGTCAAACTAGTATTCGACACCTCAACAGTGCACATCTATGACCACACCCACCAGGAATAGAACCCACTACCTTCAGCTCCCTTAAACAGCACGTCACCGTTCAACTACTAGGTCGGAATTGAATGCTCAACATTTCCTACTAATATCAACCCACAATATACCACGACGTCTAGTCAATGTCATCGTTGAGTAACTCTCATCATGTTCGACTTAGTTGGCTCTACTGGTTATGTTTTGACTTCTCATTGGAACTTCGGGAATAATCACCTCTTGAAACTAGTCACCAATGAGTTATAGATTAATTCTATCTGGAGGTTTTTGGAGATTTATGAATTGGTTTTAGGTTGCAATTGATCATAGACTGACATCGGTTGGAGAAGTATTGAAAATTTGGCAGCACCGGATAGCTGTTTCCGCTTGGTATGAAACTTTTCAGTAGTTCGCACCCATGACCACACCAGTTAACTGAAAGATGTAGGATATATGAACCATTCGATTTCAACCCAGTGGTTCAAAAGTAACATCCGGCCACGAAGCCTTAAGGCTCTGAGTTCGATCCATGGTGTAACGAGGTCATGGGTATGGATTGCTGAGTAGTCCCATATAAGGACGAAACAGCTATCTGTCCAGTGCTCCAAAGTCTGTTTCCAGTGTTCCCTCAACTGATGTCAGCCCATGATTAGTTCCAGCCTGAAATCAATTAATACATCTCCTTAAACCTTCAGATAAAGTTTATGTTGTCAAATCTTTTGTAATGATTGCCAAGTCAAATACATCATCATCACCAGGGATTACTGCGTAACGGTCGGAGTTGCCACAGCTCAGTACAGTACACATCAAGTAGAAAGGTAGTGAGGTGAAAGATGAAGATAAGAGAATGCAATCAAAAGAAATATAAAGTACGAGAAGAAAGAAAGGGAGAATGACAAAATGGTGAGATTCGGTATAGCGTCATTAAGATGAGGATAATGTATGTGGGGATACACTTGCGCCACTGACATTGGTTCTGAATCATGTGATCACTTAGAGTCTCCAACCATTGTTGGTTCCTCTTGTCCCGTGGACCCGAACCACCTAGTGTGCATCGCCCTATATGGCTTAAACCAGTAGTCAGAGACTTGATACATTGGTGCTATGTTTTAGTCTGACCACGTCTGGCCTTTTTCCAGCTTGGACCTACTTCGGTGAACATTGTGTGACGAGTCGATTGGTGGTTAGGCATACATAGTGCGTGTCCCAACCAGGCATCTTAGTCGATGAAGGTTCATGACCCTAAAACTGTATACCTGACTTGTGCATTACTCACGTGGTGTGTTGACACCACGGAATACTGCCTATGCTACGAAGGCGACGGTGGTTACACACTTGAAGCCTTCTCATGTCTTCCACCTTCAGATACATAGGTCACAGTAGGCGACGAGGATCAATCATAATGTTTGAGCATTAAAACTTATCTAAATAAAGATTATTGGACAATGGTGTAATAAGGAATCTAAAGGAAAGTTTGACTACAGCAATTACAGACAACCAGAAAATTGGATAAAACAAGAGATCGGTATCAGAATCTTTGGTTATCGAAACAACGCTGAACAGGAATAACTGAGCACACCTGTTCAATGGCTTCAGCTTCTTAGTCTAACCATTTAATTTCCAACTGATGAGTCATCAGTTACAAGCATCGCTCCACCTAAGAAGGTTTCAGGAGTCAGGCCTCATACAATAGGTGTGACTCACTGACTAAGTGGATTTCATCTTCCTAGATCACAAAGAAGGAGAAAGAAGTCAAAGTGCGTTTAAACCACCAGGTTGTCAATTCACTTTGATATGACAACGGACAAAAAAAATGTATTTGATATTTTATCTAGTAAATTATACTATTTCTTTGTATAATACATCTAATATATCATTTGAAATGAAGCTCAATATTTCATCAGACAAGTATTCAGAAAGCCGTTCCAATGGACAATATTTAAAGAGCAAATCGACTATTCTTTTTAAGCTCAGCTATAGATGGTCTCTTGTGATTGGCTACTTCCTGTCTTCATTAACCATAACTCTTCACCTTGTCTTCTGGCCAATTTCTCAATCACACCATGACGACTCATAGAGTGGATTTAATCTAATCTATTCGAATAGTTCACTCTTAGATGGCTTTAAAAAATACAATGATTGTCGTTACTGTATAAAGTGGTTGTAAAATTATAATCGATAATGGTGTGAAAATATTACCTTACCATCTTGGTGTTCAGTGTTCCTGCCTTCTATATTGTCTACCGAATTTACATGTAGATTGTTATTACTTTTTGCGCTTTTCTCCACTTTTACGCTACATACTACTAACAAACATCCCTATATAAGTAGTGTTCACTATTTACCTATAGGAGAAAAATGAGGAGGAAATAAACAGATTGTAGGATAAAACAAAGGACAGATAGTGGTTTGGACACTATCTTCTACAGGAAACACACACATTCCAACAGGTATCTAAACTTCAAGTCATCTCATCCAATGTCAGTCACTTAAGCAGGTTCAGTCAAATGTCTAAATGATACACCTACAAAACTGACTAGTCAGTCCAACGACCTGAACAAGGAACCGAAGTATATAAAAGATGCACTAATAGTTAATAAGTACGAAACTCGTACGAACACGAATAACAACAACAACACAAGTAGAAAGGAGTTGACAGCCTCCATTGTGTTACCCTACAAGGAAGGTACATCAGAAACTTTACATAGGATGCTCAAAAATAACTGGAATTAGGGTGGTATTGAAACCTACAAACTGACTCAGAAATAAGCTTTGTCGACTGACTTAAGGATCGGATAGAAGCAATTGAGCAAAATAATCTAATCTATGAAATTCCATGTAATGACTGTGAGGTCATGTACACAGCTGAAACTAACCGGTCGATGTCAATTACATTAACGTAACATAGGAATTTAGCTAGACGCAGAATGATAGATCCCAACAAGATTAATTAATAATCTAGAGAAGAACTCAGTCATTTCAATGCATATGTGGATGAAGCCATTGTAATTAAGTCTGACAATATGATTAGGTGAAGTGAGAGGTGGATTGGTTACTGAACCTTTGTTCATCGAATCAGCCAACACTCAACACATGTAGTAGAAATGATGCGACTCCTATATACGAGAGATATGGAAAAGTTTACTACCAATACAAACAAGGAATCTGAGGTGACATGACTATAAATAAAGCGGGCATAGAAAGTGCTATGATTATACTTATCTGATTATGAGCAGTGATAAGTTATGATGAAAATGTCGTCATCAGGTAGGTAATAGTGCATCACTCTCGGTATGCTGACTTGTATCAGTCCATGATGAATTCCTACATAAATCAATTCATAAATCTCCAAAAACCTCCAGATAGAATTAATCTATAACTCATTGGTGACTAGTTTCAAGAGGTGATTATTCCCGAAGTTCCAATGAGAAGTCAAAACATAACCAGTAGAGCCAACTAAGTCGAACATGATGAGAGTTACTCAACGATGACATTGACTAGACGTCGTGGTATATTGTGGGTTGATATTAGTAGGAAATGTTGAGCATTCAATTCCGACCTAGTAGTTGAACGGTGACGTGCTGTTTAAGGGAGCTGAAGGTAGTGGGTTCTATCCTGGTGGGTGTGGTCATAGATGTGCACTGTTGAGGTGTCGAATACTAGTTTGACGAAACAGTTGTCGGGTATTCCCAGGTTTCTAATCTTTCTCCAACTGATATCATGGCGTGATGAATCTGAACCGAAAATCTACTTGGGAATTAAATTTTTTTTTATGATAATTTATTTTCGTATGACAATTTACCAATTACTTTATTTTCTCATTGGCTTCCTTTAACACGCATACCGACACTTGTCAATATGTATAGAATGTTAGCAGAATTTATTGTTGAATTACACTCAATGTTTGACAAATTACATTTCACTTATCTGGAAATCAATCCACTGGTTATATGTAAATGGCATATAATGAAGATGAATGAAGATAATAGTCATCAGATAGATGACAATGATCATTTATACATTCATATATTAGATGTGGCAGCAAAATTAGATCAATGTGCTGAACACTTATTCATCTCCACTTCTGATTGGTTAGTCAATGGAAGAATGTTAGAGTTTCCATCTGGTTTTGGTAAAACTGAAAGTAAAGAGGTAAGTATATGCTGTCACTCATTCCCCGTATTTGCATAGATTTTCTCTACGATTTTATTCTTATTGTTATTTCGTAATGTTTGTTTATATGGTACATCTGCATCATTGCAGAGCAATCCAGGATGCGTGTTTCATCGGCTGGAATGCCTGCACTTCAGTGCGAAGTGACACTTCCCACTGAGACTCGAACCTCGTACCCATCGCCTCAAACGCTAAGACGTTGCCCACTGTGCCACGGAGGAACGATAGCCACCTCTTGTAGTAGTTATTACTATTTATTGATATACTTATAATGCTCCGTTGTTTTATTGGATCGAATTGTTTAACCTCTATTGGCATATGGACTCCTGAATGGATGCCTCGATATTGGATCACTTGGCACTGGGATGCATGTACATCCAGCTGACTGATGAATCTCAACTAGTACGAAACGCGCATCATGGATTCCTCTGCTAGCCACAACCAAGGGAATTACGATAATTAACACTCAGGCAATATTGTGGCATCCACGTAGGATCCCATGTGCCAATAGAGGTCGAACAACTCAATTCAATAAAAGAACGGAGAGTAATAAGTATATCAGTGAATAGTTTTCATCACCATTACTGTTATGTTACATGAATTCAGTTTGAAAGTTTGTAGGGATTGATTAGAAATGTGTGGTTTTCAAAGTTTCTTAACGGATGTATCAGTTTGTGATGAACACTATTATGGCATTATAAGCAGGTTCCATCATTTTAATAAGTAGGTTCAGACGTTGAATTCAGGGTGATGAACGCAAGTAATATTGTTGACAATGATAGGGTGCTGAGAAAAAACCACTAATCAATATGATAAGAAACAATACTATCTTAAATTGGTAGTCGAAATTTATGTGTGTGCTGGGGTGGGGGGTGGGGGTGAGGAATTAAATATAAACTCATTTGACACGTACTAAATCACCATTGCTCATAATCACTTCCCAAACAGGGATTTCGATTAATTTATAGAGATATTATAGTTTTAGAAAGCTTGAAAATTCATCTATCATTGAAAATAGTCAGTCTTCTGACGATTGACTTCTTTGTCTACGCGTCAAGCCAAACCAAGAATACAAGTATTTCAGAGAAAAGTGAAAATTTCACTCAACAACCACAAGGAATATTCACTTACCAGTGAATCAACCACACCTACTGTGTATGTGTCGGATGTGTGTGTGTGTGTGTGTGTATGTGAGGATTATGACACTATGCGGTTGCTAAAACCTTTGTGTCTTGAACTCTTGGCGCACTGACTGATAGTTGAGTACCATAAGCAACCACATCTATATTTCACTTCTATCTGCAGTCCGAATTTTCCTTTCACCTTCAATCATCAAGCAGTAGTCTGTACTAGTCTGCTAAACCATGTTTATCTCAGGTGGTCAAATGATAATCAATATGATGCTCCTTATCTCTAATTTATTAACATTTGGACTGCAATGAGAAGTCTTGACTAGGCAGCCAATGTGAGTATGGTCAAGAGATAGTAAGAGGCCACAAATTCACATGATAGTCCAGCAAAACTCCGGCTGTGATTGAAGTGAAATAAAGTTCTAGTCAGCAGTTCAGATCTCGTGGTTTAATTAGAAGGGGATCTGGTCGGAAACCCCGTGGTCGCTAAATGGGATCCGGTGGTGGTCGAAATTTTTATTTCACCTTCAAATACTAGTCTGCCGAACTACTGCTATCTTGGATAGTCAAATGGTAATAATGATAATCATTAATATTGTATTTTTGAGATGAATGGGGATTTTTAATTTAGAGGTTGTATTCATTACGAGCTGACATCAGTTGGGGGAACCACTGGAAATCTGGGAGTACTGTATAGCCATCTGTTTTGTCCCAGTATGGGACCATTCAGCAGTACATACCCACGACCTGGCTACGAATCGAACTCAGGACCTTCCGGTTTCACAGCAAATGCGTTGACCATTGAGGCATTGGGTTGGTTTTCAGTGGTTCACAGTTCCCATTGTAATATAGTGCAACTGTCATCCAAGATTTTCAATTAGCGTCCGCTTTAAAATACATTACTGTATGGTGAACATTAATGACACCCCTTTAGATTGATATCCCCAAGTTCTAATGAGAAACTGTCGGATGCGAAGCGGGGAGCCAACCGAAGTTCTTGATGGTAGGCAGTCGCGCTATATCGCAAATTGATAGAAGTAGGAAACCGTGGACTGTTGAACTCCAACCCAATGGCTCAATGGTTAACACATTCACCATGAAACCTGAAGGTCCTGAGTTCGATCCCTAGCGGGATTGTTAGTGCATACTGCTGAGGAGTCTCATAATAGGATGAAACAGCTATCCAGTGCTCCCAGGTTTACACTGGCTATTCGACTGATTTCAGTCCGTGATGAATACTACATTTAAATGTTGAATAGTGACAAATCAAACCACGTTGTTCATAACATGACCCGACCCAGTGGCTCAGTGGTAACGTGCCAGTCAGGGAACCTGAAAGTCCTCGGTTTTATCCCTTTCTGGGTACGGTCATGGGTGCGCATTCATGAGCAGTCACATACTAGTTGGAGAAAACAGCTGTACAGTGCTAACAGGTTTCCAATGTTCCTTTAACTAAAGTACTACAACCTGAAATCAATTAATTAATCTCCATAAACCTTCAGAATGAATGTAGGAATAAATGTCTTTATTATCAATTATTAGTCTGTGGTAAGGTTAAGGTGAATATGTGTGCTTCTGTATGTGTATGTTTATATAGATGAGGAATTGAGTTTGTTGTTGTGTATGTACTTTTGTTATGACTATTGTGTGTGACGTGTTATTTTAGAATATACCGTCCAAGACATCTTTTGTTTTCAAGTAAACAAATCCACTGTGTGCTAAACATTCATTTACTTGGAACTTATTCAGGAGAGCCATAAAGCTCATCACAAACGAAGACGACAGATAAACGGAAATAAGAAACATAATTGACGTGTTACATCCTCTAACAACTATCTCAAGAATGTCAAATCATAATTCTTGGATTAGCACAGCAGTTCTACCATTCCGCCAAGGTATAACTGAAGAGCTACAAATAATCTTCAGAAAGCATTTAAGCCATTTATAAGACAACCAACACTTAGGATTGCTTCAGCCCACTTAAAAAAGCCAGGCAATCAGACTGTTCCGGTCGTAATTTCGAATCTAGAGCATTGTTTAATCTCTTCAGGAGGATGTTGATTGGGTGGAGCATGATTCCGTGTCAGTTCTGACAAAGACTTAGGTCGCCATTCTTTGAAAGTTTGACAAGGTAGTCCTTCTTCCACTCGGCTGGTACATTTCTTTCCTTACAAACCTTCTGCAATAGTGGTGTGAGCATGTCCTCTGTTGTCTCTGCGTCTGTTTTCAGTACTTCTAGAGGAATTCCATCTGGTCCTACTGCTTTCCCGGATTTCAGCAGCTTTATGGCGTTCAGGACTTCACTTCTGCTTTTGTCAGCTGGCTTGTGTTCACTGGTGATTCTGTGGCTAGGCTGCTAGTAGTATTTCTGAATGAGCTGCAGGTGGTGGTCGATACAAGGGTTTTTTGAAGTGGTCAGCGCATCGTTTCCTTTGTTTCTTCTCTTTAGTAATTAAGTTTTCCTTGATCTCTTTCTAGATGGTAACCTGGTTGTTTGATATAATCTTGTCAGGTCTCTGTCTCTCCTACCAGCAGCCTGTTCTGCTTCACTTGCAAGTGTGTCGTGAAAGTGTCTTTTGTCTTTCCAAGCACTCTTCTTCACTTCTTTGTCCAGTGTTTTATAGGTTGTGTTCAGTTCTTCTTTTTGTTGTTCATCCCTGCACTGCACTGGTTTATTTTCTGCTTCCACATCTTCCTCTCCCTTCTCTATTAGCTTCGATGTACCCATCGAGATCCATTCCTTGTGGTGTTTTCATCTTCCTTCCTAATATGGTTATGCAAGTTAATTTCCACATCTTTTTCAAAGAGTTCTAGTGTTCTTCCACCCAGGTTTCTTCACGGATGTTGCCTATTGTCTCCCATTCTTTCCTGATAGCTGACGTGAAGATGTCATTTGTAGTTTCGTCCTTCAGTTTCTGTTCTGGGTGTAGAACTTAGACTGTGGTCTATCACCAACTTCCTTGAAGGCTTTCAACTTGGTTTTGAAGGTAGGTTTCTTGGACTAGATAGTGAGTGGTGTGAACCTACATCTGCTCCCTTTCTTGATCTGATCTTGTGTCCAGTAGACTGCGTCTCCACCTTCTTGAGACTGAGATGTAGTCGATCTGATTTTTAGTGTGTCCATCTGGTGAAGTCCATATCGCTTTGTGAATATCCTTGTGTTTGTATACACTGCCTCCAAGCACCGAATGATTGAAAGGGCAGAAGTCTGCAAAAAGGTCTCCATTCTCATTGATTTCACTGAGTGCCTCTTGACCTATGATTGTTTCTCTTCCTGTGTTGTCTGCTCCCAGTTTGGCATCTGGATTTGGATGTCTCCAACTGGAGTGGTGTCTTGTCTAGTACTGATTGCAGTTGTCTGTAGAATTCCTCCTTCTTCTCTTCATCTGTATTATTTGTAGGTGCATAGCGTAGTGTAGCGTTGAATGATTGTGACTTTCCTTCCTTTGGAGTTGAATCTTGCTGTCATGACCCTGCAGCAGGAGATTGGTTCCCACTGTATGAGAGCCTTCGATGTTCTCGAAGACATCATGATAGGCACTCTAAAACTCAGTGTGCTCGTGGTTGTCGTGTGAGTGACAATATCGGAGTAGGTTATTGACTCTCCAGTCGACAGTTTTGAGAGTTCACTTCCATTCCATCTGTAGATACCTCGCAGATTCCAAGCATTTCTATGCCATACGTCCTCATCGCTTTTGCGATCTGGGCAGCCTTGCTGGGTTCAAACATGGTGCGAACATCCCATGTCCCCATGTTTACTTTCGGTTTCATCGAGAGAAGCGGAGACACATCTTCGAATTGGCTTCCCGAAGGTTTTCACCAACCGGCGTCATTTTGTCTCCCCGATTCCAGCGAGGAATAAGTTTATTTTCGTTTTTTATTGTTTGTTTGTGGTTTGAAGTTTCTTTAGCGGTTGGATTGGTTTTCCGGAGTAGGGTTGCTAACCCTGTGCCCAACCTCCCCTCTTTGTCCGGCCATGGAACCGGCTAGTAACTAGTGAATTGGTTACCTAGGCGATGTTGGCTTTTTCTAATTGTAGAACTTAATGAGAATGTTTATTGAAAAGAATATTTTTAGTTCAGATTTTTGCTTTCTATAAATACGTGTTTTCTGCTTTATTTTGTTTTTCAATCGATAAATATTTTAGGAAGCCTATATTGCCAAATTAGATGCTCGTACAGGTGCTTCATTAAAACTATCTGTTCTCAATCCACATGGTCGTATCTGGACAATGAGTGCAGGTGGTGGTGCCTCAGTGATCTATGCTGATACTGTATGTGAATTAGCGGAAAGAGTTAAAGCAGCTGGCGGTACTAGTCAAGGTGCACATGATTTAGCCAATTATGGAGAATATTCTGGTGCACCATCTGAAGAATTGACATATGAGTATTCTAAAACACTTTTATCCTTAATGACTAGTGGTGATCCTTATCCAGAGGGTACGATTTTCGACAATTAATTTCTTTATTATTTCTCATAATGGCATATATTTGGAAATCGAACTATATTTTGTAGATAATATCGTTTCTTTATGATGTAACCTGACTATTTAACAATAGAGTCAGTGAACGATTTCTTGGTATTCATTGGGCTGTGATATTCCTAACTGGAAGGTCTCATCACTAGTACGAACTTCATTAGAAAGTGAGGAATCTTAACAGGTTAAAGGAATGTTCTTATAGTGTTTTCCTTTGTAGTAGATCTTTTTAATGACGAATAGTGACTAACAGTAGACTCCAGGACATGCGTTTCGTCCTGGTTGGCACTCATCATCTGGATATTCTCACAGAGACTCGGATCCAGAACTCATCACTTCAAGCTGGGTCTTTATGTTTGTCAATGGGTAAAAGGTCACTCATCGAGGGGGCAAGTACATCTAGTTGATACGTCCCAGGTGGGAAAAACACACATTTCCTGGATTCCTTTGCTAGTTACTGTGGCTCATTACTACATCCATGGGCGTGTAAGAGACTATGGTGAGTTTTTAGGTGAGTTGTATACATTGAATGAAATCTGCCAAGAATGTTCACTGTCTCCATTCTTATCGCGGGAGAATCTTTGGTCAAACTAGAGTGCTCAGATTATATAATTCTGTTAAGTGAAGATACAGAGTCTTCTTGATACCTTCAGTGGAATGTTTTGGATATGTTACACTTGACCCAAAATCAAAATGGCTACTGCAGGACTAGTCTTCAGTATTACCCCGGTTAACAATAGGCAATGAAGTAGTTGAGCTCGTTAAACACTTCACTTACATGAGAAGTCGGATCAGCTCTGGTGCGTTGGTCAATGGCAAACGAAATCTCTTCATGGATACAAAGGGCTCGGTTGGCTTTCGCCAACTTACGCCATCTGTGGCGCCCCCATGATATCCTATTGTCTACTAAGGTTCTAGTGTACTGTGCTGCGGTCTGCTCTGTTCTGCTGTGTGAAACATGGACATTGAGCTATATGGAGGGATGTTGAGTGGTTAGTTAGGGTTGTTGAGGTAATATGAATCAGTGTTTGGAGGCCCTAGGGGGCATCGGTTACAGTGCCGCAGATATATTTTACTCTTTGACGTCTTATAAAGTTTGGACATTAATAATTAAAATTTGAAATTCTTTCTCCGTGCGTACACTCCTACTCTGCGCACTTGTTCTTTACATGCTGCTGTGAAGTGTGCCGAGTTGAACCGATCCATTTATGTGCTTGGTTCTACATTGATTTTATCTGTCTGTTGGAACTTACTTTAATCCATAAGTGATGTAATTCCTAAAACTAATTCATCAGCATTCTATGATGAATTCCCATTAAAAATATTTTAGCAACTGTAATAGGTAGTGGTGTAAATAGAAATCAATATTTTAAGTCATCAGCCGCTAAGGTTTGTACTGCAATTTTTGTTTCATATTGCTGTGTGGTCAGGAAAAACCGCATTGGACAAATTTATCTTATAACTGACCAATCAGAATAGGCTATTTAACTTTCGACCTAGTGGTTTGATAGGTTCATAAAAACTGTATATCTGTGATGTACTTTTTGTCGAATAAAGTTTCCCAATAAAAGGAGTGCACTGTGGTAGAAGGTAATTCTGTATTAGATTTGTTTATTTGATAAATAGCGCATAGGGATACAGTATTATTTAGAGGTAGTAATCATCATGGACTGACATCAGTTGGGGAACCATTAAAAACTTTTGAGAACTGGATAGCCAGTTGTTTCGTCCTAGTATGGGACTCCTCAGCATCTCGAAAATATATTACTGTATTGTACTCATTAGTGATGAACTTCCAAATGGATATGACGAAGTTCTTATGAGAAGTCGTGACCTGTGGGGAAGCGGATGCCAACTGAAGATATTAAGTGATAGTCGGGCCATATCGAGAATTGACACAAGTTGGAAACTGTGAACCACTGAAAGGCGAATTAATGACTCAGTGGTTGTGAAACTTGAAGGTAATGAGTTCAATGTAATCTTACCACTTCCTACGCCTGCTTTATTTATAGTTATGTCACCTCAGATTCTTTGTTTTCATTGGTAGTAAACTTTTCCATATCTCTCGTATATAGGAGTCGCATCATTTCTACTACATATGTTGAGTGTTGGCTGATTCGATGAACAAAGATTCAGTAACCAATCCGCCTCTCACTTCACCTAATCATATTGTTAGACTTAATTACAATGGCTCCATCCACATATGCATTGAAATGACTGAGTTCTTCTCTAGATTATTAATTAATCTTGTTGGGGTCTATCATTCTGCGTCTAGCTAAATTCCTATGTTACGTTAATGTAATTGACATCGACCGGTTAGTTTGAGCTGTGTACATGACCTCACAGTCATTACATGGAATTTCATAGATTAGATTATTTTGCTCAATTGCTTCTATCCGATCCTTAAGTCAGCCGACAAAGCTTATTTCTGAGTCAGTTTGTAGGTTTCAATACCACCCTAATTCCAGTTATTTTTGAGGATCGTATGTAAAGTTTCTGATGTGCCTTCCTTGTAGGGTAACACAATGGAGGCTGTCAACTCCTTTCTACTTGTGTTGTCGTTGTTATTCGTGTTCGTACGAGTTTCGTACTTATTAACTATTAGTGTATCTTTTATATACTTCGGTTCCTTGTTCAGGTTGTTGGATTGACTAGTCAGTTTTGTAGGTGTATCATTTAGACATTTGACTAAACTTGGCTTGACTGACTGACATTGGATGAGATGACTTGAAGTCAGATACCTGTTGGAATGTGTGGGTTTCCTGTAGACGATAGTTGGAAACCACTATCTATCCTTTGTTTTATCCTGCAATTCTCTGTATTCATTTTCTACCTCCTCGTAGCTGAATTGAAGCGCATCTGCTACTGTGTTTATATGTTTGAGGAAATTGTTGATATGTACTGGACTAGACGTTTATACGGCCATGTTTTCTCAACTATCCATAAATATATCTGCTACAATCGGAGATATTAGCAATCCGATTGTTACTCTTTCTGTTCGTCTGCATATTTTATCTTGAAACTTGAAGAATGCGGAGGTCAGGTACTATTGTACGCATAATATAATCTCATTAATTGATAAATTAGTTCTATGAGTAAGTTCGGAGTTGATTTCCGTCTGCATTCAGTGTCATATTGATTGGTATTTTAGTTTTAAAGACTTGTTATATCGAAGCTAACCATTTTTTTCATTCTCTTCTAGGTGTAGGTCATAAAGTTTCTTCATTTTCGGTTACTTTTAGCGAAGTATAAATTTCTGATGGAGAATAGTTGACATTTATACCTACTCCAAAGATCTCATCAGGTTATTATTATTGTTATTAGTAGTATTGACTTGATTACTTCATTCAAATTATTATTTTCATTTGTTTAAATATATTGTTTAGGTAAAGTTCTTTTAATCGGTGGTGGAATTGCAAATTTTACCAATGTTGCAGCTACATTTAAAGGTATTGTACGCGCGTTAACCGAGTTCAAGGCAAAATTACAAATGCATAAAATACGCATATTTGTACGTCGTGCTGGTCCAAATTATCAAGAAGGTCTTCGTATTATGCGTGAATTAGGTAAGATATAAGTGAATGTATACTGTTTCATTTATGTCTTATGTTCTACTTTTATATTACTCGAAAAAGGTGAAGAAAAATGGAGTAGTACGCATCTGACGTGTAAATATTAAACGTCAGTCTATGAAGTCTTCAATGAATACATATGTCTGGCATTTTGTTACATAAGCTGTATGTAGCGTGATTGACTTTTATATGAAATGAATAATCCTGAATATAATTTTGATTATCGTCATATTTTTAATCTAAAGTCCTACATTAAGCTTACATAGAGTAATATTCTGGATACCTGCAGTATGAGCAGTACAAGCCTAGCAGAGATAGTCAATACAATGAATAGCGATGCTTGAATATATACATTTCCAAATGATCTTGACAACACTTAATTCACATAAAGGTAAAAATAGTCAGCAGGGAGAAGAAAAACTGGTGATGGTGTGAAAATAGCCATGATAGATTATTTTAAGGTCATGAGCAAAACATCAGGGAAAAGCAGTGATCTTTAACTACTGGTTTGAGATGTGTTGCTTAATGCAGATTCCCCAATCGGAATCCACATGACAACAGTAACGAGTGATTGGAGACTCTAGATGAAATGGATCAAAACAGATGTCATTGACGCCTGTGTATCTACGCATTATCTTTGTTTTCATCATCATAATGAATATGAGTATTCTTTCATTCTTCGTCTTTCTCTGTTGACAACTTTCTATCACTTAAACTACCTTCTGTCTTGTATTGAGGTCGAGCAATTCCACAGTATCACTCGCTGAGTTGCAGTTACATCCCCCTGACGAGTCCTGGGTTGGACGAAATGCGCATCCTGGATTCCACAGCTAACCATCATGTAAATTAGAACAAGACATATAAACGAACAAAACTGTTTTCAATTAGATCCTTTCCAGGCTTCAATTACTCTAAAAGTGATAACGTTGACCAAAGCACTTACAAGAGAGCAAGAAGAATGTGTTCGGATGGTCTAGTACAGAAGGAGTTAGAATATACTCGTAATTCATTGCTTCATAAAAAGACACATGGACAAAGCGAGGTAAAACAAACGTGAAAGTGTTGCCATACAAAAGAAACGAATGTTCATAAAGCCTATTCCAAAATGGCTTCACAAGCAGATTAAATCACCTGAACCCATAAATGTTGGTAACAGACATCCAAGTTCTTCGATCGCGAAATATATCGTTAAGACACGTGACAGGATTCATATGGCTCCTTCCTTTATACCTATTTACAAAACGTGTTGGGGATGAATCCTTAAATATGTCGAGGCCTTAGCTATTAAGAAGTTCAAACCACCTTTATATGTTCATAAACAATCTTCCTTGGTAAATCCAACTATCATTTGATTATTTGAGATAGCCGTAGTTTGTCAGAATGGTATTTATACTGATTGATGATTGAAGGTGAAATGAGAAATCTGAGCCATAGACGAACTCGAACCAGCGACCACCGAGGTTTCTGGCTGATCCAAATTTTCATTACACCTTCCAATCATCATCCAGTATAACTTCAACTCTGACAACCAAATTCGAATGTATTATTTTCATTCTATTGTATTTCATTGTTATTCGGTCATTCGACTTGACCTCTTTTCATTTTTCTCACACCTTATTTGCATATAAATACCTATGATAAACAAGTGTGTACGTGATCAGATAGTTCAATATGTATTGCGGAAATGCACATTACACGGTTAACACAATTTCTATCTTCTTATTGTTCTGTTGAACTTTATAAACAGGACTCATTGTTTTAAATTTGCGTTATCTTGGTTGTATTGTGTTCTCTGAGTTGGGTTGTTTAATCGACATCATCAGCACGAACTTCAGTATGATCACATACACACTTGTTTATCATAGGTATTTATATGCAAATAAGGTGTGAGAAAATGAAAAAAGGTCAAGTCGAATGACCGAATAACAATGAAATACAATAGAATGAAAATAATACATTCGAATTTGGTTGTCAGAGTTGAAGTTATACTGGATGATGATTGGAAGGTGTAATGAAAATTTGGATCACAGCCAGAAACCTCGGTGGTCGCTGGTTCGAGTTCGTCTATGGCTCAGATTTCTCATTTCACCTTCAATCATCAATCAGTATAAATACCATTCTGACAAACTATGGCTATCTCAAATAATCAAACGATAGTTGGATTTACCAAGGAAGATTGTTTATGAACATATAAAGGTGGTTTGAACTTCTTAATAGCTAAGGCCTCGACATATTTAAGGATTCGTCCCCAACACTTTTTGTAAATAGGTGTAAAGGAAGGAGCCATATGAATCCTGTCACGTGTCTTAACGATATATTTCGCGATCGAAGAACTTGGACGTCTGTTACCAACATTTATGGGTTCAGGTGATTTAATCTGCTTGTGAAGCCATTTTAGAATATGTTCTGAGACCCTTAGTTGTATGGGTCTATGAGTCCTCTATATGTATGTGTCACCACACGTACATTTAAATTAGTAGGTGCAATGGGATGTGACATTGTCTTTCATATGCTGTAGGGGATTGGGGGGATATACGGACTTGTTGGTTTCTATTATTCGAACCTTATCTGCATAGTAATTCCTTCTAATAGCCGTGTTAAGTCTTTCCGCTTAAGAATCGCACTATGAGAGTCACCTTTGTACGGGAGACTGATAAAGACATCCTTCTTTGGGCAATCTGAAGATCTGGTTTTGGTGCTCTGATTATTGTCTGCTACCTAATAAATTTTCCACTGACTGAAATATTTCATCCATCAGAAGTTCAACTTTATCTCACCTCGTTGATGGTGATCACTTGGTAGATAAGAGCAATGCTTTCACGATTATTCATGGTATACCACCTCATCATTCGAAAGGAAGGTATTCGAACTCGTCAACTGTAACATGTAGGAGAAGGTGTGGGAATTCGAGCTAATAATCGTAGTCTCTGTATCCGGAAGAAGTTAGTACATCCCTTATCTCTACTTTGGTCAGAGAATGCTTAGTTAGTAACTTTATTGTTGAGCTTTTTTCCTACCCCTTTTCTTATTCTTCACCCCTTTCATGAAGGCTTTCAAATTGGGCATCAATGGCCAAATGCGAAACCTTCGTGTAGGGAAGCGAAAAACTGAATTCAAGGGAAAGTGCTTCCTTCTCACCTGTCGAAAGTTGAATAGACGATACATTTTTCACTTATTTATCTGGGTTAATTGGGAATGAGATAAGATGAGATTTCTCCTGATTGATGAGATTTATTAGTGCAAGGTCTTGACAGCTTCTGTTTTCTCTTCTCCTCGACTTAATGATAAAAGAACTACGAAAATTGATGAACTTGATATGAAAAATTAGCAAAATATCAGATAACACACATGAGGCTAAGCTTATCATAGTTGAGAAGACCAAACATCTACTGAAACATAGACCTCAACGCTGTATAAACGACTGCATCATATCCCACTGCGTTTATGAATTTGCATATGTGTGTGGACCAACATACATAGGGAGGACTAATCGTGATATGCACTTGAGGGCAGCTGGATTCACAAACATTGATAAGCGCAGATGGCAGAGAACCATCATCCGCATCCATTACAAAAACATATCATTGATAAGAGTCACAGGATTGATATCAAAACAGCCTTTAGAATTTTGTACAGAAACTGTCAAGGGCATATACCTAAGTTTGTTGAGGCTCTAGCCATAAATAGATTTAACCCCCCCGCCCCCCATTGTGTGTACAAAAACAGTTTGTCCTTACATTGCGCCTAACTTTGTAATGCTTAGTTTATCGTATTACCATGATTGTCTTCAAATCTTATCTTTTATTCCTCTCATTATCTTTCTTATCATTGAATTCCTTTATGTCGTTTTTGTCCTTCCCCCCACTTCCAGTTTTCATAGACAAGTAAATATGTGATCAGATTGTTCGAAATGTATAGCGCTAATGCATCACATTTTTTAGATACTCAATCTACTTCTTCTAATTACGTTATCCAAATTCATAAAAGGGACCAATTGTTTCACATATGTATTTATTAGCCACCTTCCCGGTGCCCTTACAGGGGGGCCCAGTTGACTTATACGGAATACATTGGTGGATTTCTTCGACCATTACACTTTCTTGAGAAATTCCATCAGCCCGAACGGGCTGGTTTTTGACGAAATCCTAGTTGGGATTCAGAAGGTTCGTTCAGCATCTGCCAACTTGCATTATCTATGATGCCGACTGGCGAGATGTTCGACTGTCTTTCAGAAGACGAGTATACTGCGCTGCAATTCTGTTATACGGCTGTTTTACATGGCGCTTACATTTTGAAGACATGAAGCAATTCCAGCGTTTTGATCATAGGTGTCTTCAAAGCATTTCTCGTTTTCGGTGGAATCACCATGTGAAGATACTAAGCAAGTCAGTTGATGAGGTTGTGAAGCCTCATCAACTGAGAGATGGCTTGGAAATGTGTGGTACATGTCGAATAGCCATCTTCTTCGACATGCCATGCTATAGGAATTTGGAAAAGGGTTCAGATTGACTACACCAAAACGTGGCACCAGAGTATGGAGTATGTGTCAACTGTGTAGGGAGATGTTGACTTGATGGCTAGGATCCCCGTGATGAAAGGAATCAGTGATATGGCGGAAAATCGATCGCAGTAGCATATATATATTCACTCTGTTTACTGTCTTCCATAAGTTGAATATTTGCACTGACCTCTATCTTCAGATGGTTCGAAATTGCGTCCAAGTTCACCATAGAGGTGTGAAACTTTGGTCGAGGTGAGGTAGTTGACTTTTAAACAATAGATCGCTGGTTCGAACCCTGCCTCAAATACTGAGGTTTGGGTAGCTAAAGCTCATACAATAGGTGTGACCCATTGTTTATTGCACAAATATACTCAAGGTTATTTGAAAAGATTTCGATTTTTCATAGTATTCACACCAATATTTTGTAGTTTCTCTTTTGTTTTCGTCTATCTACAGGTCATACTATTAATGTACCAATATATGTATTTGGACCTGAAACGCATATGACTGCTATTGTTTCAATGGCTTTTGGTTTACGTGAAATACCATCGCCTAAGCTGAGTTGTGTCAAGGTATCGTCTGATGCATTATCCTTGAATAATATCAATATGTATAGTCATCGTGAATACGAGGTGAGTGGTAAAATGTTCACATTCAATCGATCACATAAAGATTGTTCATAAAAATGTTTTCAGCTTATCTGCGTTGTACGGAGTGTTAGTCTTGGTTATATTATGTTCTCTGAGTTGAGTTGTGTAATTGTGGAGATGCTTTCATCGTCTTGCTAGACAGCGACATCATCATCCTTACATTCAGTATGAAGTAGTGAGCTGTCAATATCTCTCCATGAGTGTTTTAGTGGCTTGCGCTGACGATGTGGTCTGTGATTGATTGTTTCCTTCGATTGTTGTATCATTGATTGTATAAACTTTCCTGTTGGCTGTTCTTCCGCTTGACCTCTGACCTTTGTGTCGTTTATCATTTTTCTTATTGGTTGATAGATCGGGTCTATGTCTACACATCTATTGGTTGCTGACTAACTGACTGACTGACGTGAATGTCAAGCTTCTAGGAATTCTCCGATATTCTTTGTGTTTCCTCTCTCCGTCCAAAATTTCTACATTGTCGAAATTGAATTCATGTCCATCATTATCCATGTGCGTTGAAATGAGTGACGAAATGTTGTGTCGTTTAATAGCCAATTGGTGTTCATGTAGACGAAGGCGTTAGTCTTTCCACTAAGAGTCGAGGTCAATGCACCCTTTCAAATGTTAGAACGCTCCATTGGACTTATGGGATTAACGGATATTAGTTGTATTTTCGATCAAATGTAGACATCCAAACGGGGTGGTCATATTCCATTACAGGGCTTGAGCTGTATGACTTCGAGTGTGCAGACGACGTTGTCCTGTTATGTCAGGTGAATACGCTGATATATTTAGGATCTTTTGAATTGAACGCGCGTGTTTGATATACGTTTCACTTGGACTTATCAAATGTAAGATGATGCTTTAGGACTGGTCTGTTGTGAGCACTTCCAATTTAAGTGGTGGGAATTGCATCATTCCGAATGAGTGTTTTCGAAAGTTCCATTTTGACATTTGCGAACTTGTGTTATCTGTAACGTCGACTGGTAAGATATCTGACTATCTATCAAAGGACAAGTAGACTGGGCTGCAGCCCATTTTATTTTCGTGTTAAATGTGGCAAATTGAACCGATGCACTTGTGTCCAGGTTCTACGCTGATTTTGTCTATCTATCAATCACAAAAGTAGGATTTTAAACATTTAAAGATTCTCGTAACACTGATGAAAACAATCTCAATGAAGTATACTCTTTTCCATAAGTGCTGTTCAGTTTCTGTTATTATAAAATATTCGAAGTCGACCTGTATAAAATGTTCAATTGACTCCTAGATATTGTGATACAATGTCATTTAGAGCGTCTCCTTTGAATTGTAAGCGCAAAAACAAAGGCTTCTCCACTGTCGTCAATTCACATTTGACATTACTGTCGGCGATGTCTACGTCTCCTCACATGGATCATGCCAGAAGTAAGAGAATTCATTGACTGGTGCCAAGTCTTCGCCTAGAAACCATGAACTCTCTTCCAAACTAATCCAATTTCACCTAGCATTGTACTTTGAAGTAGGCAATGGCTCAACATGTGGAGTACATATCCATACCATCTTAGTCGAGATTAATTAGCTACAGAAGTTTTGAGACACAACTAACGTCTTTTTTTCATTTTCAGCTTCATCGATTGGTCTGAAAAATTCACCTCTTATGAATATTTCCAGGTTTATGTATGTAGATGAGCGTTAGCTGCATCTACTTATTCAGTAGTGTATACCTCTTGTCTTACATTATTTATCTTTGCTCATGTATTTCTTCATATATATTTTCATACATTAAGAATATAGACAGATCAGCTGATATAGTGAATCATAATTTGAAAATAGCTAACAGTAATAATCATCATCATCAGCATAATAACCATGAGAATAATTGTAATATGGAGACATTGTTCACAGTTGAAACAAAATGCTTAATCTGGGATTACAACTTAAAGCTGTTCAATCGATGTTAGACTTTGATTATGCCTCAGAACGAGTTAGTCCAAGTGTAGCTGGTCTTATTTATCCATTCAGGTAAGAAAAGTTTACTCTTTTTTTTTTTTTTCTAATCATCAAAATTGTGTATGAAGTTATGAGTTGTGTCATCAGATAGAACTTGGTGTAACGGTTTAATACTTTTCAACAGCTTTTACTACAAGATATAATTATGCATTAGGATGTCAAAGATTAAAAACATTGTACATAAATCTACGTCATTCTGGTATGTACAAGAGATGTACTCAGTTATCTCACTCAGTATAACCTTTGATTGTTAATTTTTAATCAGTGGATCCATGCTTTCAGGACTTCTTTTATCTCCTGAGGTTTTGGCAGTCATCCTAGTATAAGTGTGACTGATTGCCTAGTAGTGGGAAATTTCATCAACCTCAAAGGGAGTATTTATTGATGGAATCTTAACTCTGATTTGGAAGGTCCATTTGGCATTGATCAAATTGACAGACAGGCAGAGAAAATCAACGTAGAACCTTGCACACGATTGGATCAGTTCATGACGATACACTTCACAGTACTACACAAAGAACAGGTGATTCGTTTCGTCTCGAGGACCCAAGCCAGACAGTTACATCTTCTCACACGGCTGAAGTTAACAGTCAGGGACTTCGTCGACTAATGCCAGTTCTTGGTGTGGCAACCCTGAAACCTTTTCCTTCCTTATTCAACTTCAACGTTAAGGTAAGCAGTGACTTGACATGCGTAGTACATATCCAAATCATCTCAATCGACTGGAGTTCAAAACCTTATCAATCGACTTGTCTGTCTTGCCTAGTACCTTTTCATCTGACTGAACGGGCCTTCTATATCCCATCTGACATTTCTTCAGCAACCACCCTGTTCGGGCTGATGCAACTCCCCTCAACACTTCACTCCTTATCATTAAACTGGTTGTACTTGCAGATCAGTCGGCCAGTTCTGGAGCATCATCTTACATTTGACAGGTGGGAGCGAAAGGCATCCCAAACATACTTAGATTTCTGCTTGTTAGCATGCGTTATCTGTGGCATCGATTGGCGAGATATTCAACTATTTATTAAAGGATGAGTATACTGCGCTGCAGTCCGTTCTGTCCTGTCATACGGCTGTGAGATATAGCGATTAAAGGTAGAAGACATGAAGCGGTTTCACGGTTCCTATCACAAGAGTCTTTATAACGTTGGTCGTTTTTGGTGGGATCGCCGTATGAGAAATGTTGAGGTCACGTGAAAGGTGTCAAGCAAGACAGGCAAAACGATTGATGATGAAGTTGTGAACCTTCATCGGCTTAGGTGACTTTGGCATGTGTTGCATATGCCGAGCCGCCGCCTTCCTCGACGTGCAACGGTAAAAGAAGTTGGATTTAGTTGGAAAAGGATTCATTGTGGCCAGCCCAATAAGTCGCACTTGTCAATAAAATCCCTAATTGTTAATCTGAGCCGTGTAGGGAGATATAGAGAGTGTGTTTGGCGTCATTTAGACGATAAAAATCAGTGGTTGTGGAGACATGGTGACCAGTCTGAAAATCGGTCTCAGTGACCCATATTTATTGACGCTTTGACGTCTTCTTTAGCTTGAATATTTTCAAGGACCTTTACCTTCAGATTCTTTATTCTCTCACACAACTTTGTCCACTTTGATATGGGTCCTTTTCTATCCACTTATTCTCTATGTACTACTGTGAAGTGTGGCAACTTGAGTCGATGCACTCCTATACGAGGTTCTCCGCTAGTTTTATCTATCTGTTTGCCTACTACACGAACGTGTATGTACTCATTGATTCCATACAAACGAGATTTCTGAGGCGCCAGCCCTTCCATCGTAACAGTTGCCTGAAGATTATTTTCTGACTTGATTTAGGCACAAAATATCGACTTGTGCTAAATGAGTGTAGTTGTTTGAAAGTAAACATCATATAGTTTATGTTATTTTCCAATAGAAATCAGGAGTCGGATAGGATAGATGACTGTTTCACCCCACCCCGCAGATTGTTGATAGTTATTCAATCGTTTTTGAGTGTTGATCATTTTTCAAATTGCCATGAGATCCCATGTAATTTAGGTACTCAATTATTAACCAGTAGATAACAGATCTTAATTTAACGGGTACTGATTCAATCATGTAGCTTTCATTGCTATTCTATGCAACACCATTGATGAATACTGCGGAAGGATATGCGATTGTTCCCTGATGACCATGGATGTGACTAGCTGTTTCTGTCATAATCTTGTCATTTTCTACCTTCATGCTGCAATTGGTTATCTTGCTGACATGACCTCTCACCTCATTGTTGTTTTGAATGTTAATTGGTCGATACACTGGGTCAATGTTGATATGTTTAGTGGTCACTGTCTGACATCGTGTTTCGTTGTAGTTGTGGTATTTTATTTCAGGTTGTTATTCATCGTAGACTGACATCAGTTGGAGGAACAAGGAAACCTGGGAGCACTGAACAGCTGTTTTATCCGACTAGTATGGGACTCCTCGGCAGTGTGCACCCACGACCCCCCACCACCAGGGATCGAACCCTTGACCTTCAGGTCCTTCAGGTAGCGACTGGGTCGGTGGAATCCAATCGTCCATATTTCCAACTTCTGTTAACTCACGAAAAAGCGCAACTGCCACCCAATATCATTGTTTTGTAACTGTCCTCACGACCATCAGACTTTATTTCGTAGAAAACATCGAACTCGTTTCCTTTTTGGTTGTGTTGTTTGAATTGCATATCACAGAGTGAGAAGATTTTGTCATTCATGTGAATTAGAGTGATTGCCAAAGGCTGTAATGATTTGGTTAAAATTTTGGTTCACTGTTACATAATGGTAAGAGAATCCGTCTGTTCGTTTTCAGGGATAACTTTATGGTTGATGATGAAATTGACAGGCATTTTTTTTTATGCAATCACCTGGATAGCTGTTCTTTTGAAGTACTCCACTTCTAACGACAACTGAGAGAACAGATGCAAAATAGTTGACGTCAAATAGTGAGTTAACAGTATTACTCACTCTGAAGGGAAGTTTTCCGTCAAGTGTCTACAGCTCTGTAACCCAGTTAGACAATAATCAGAACTGAGTTATGGTAATGTCAGCCAAGTGTCCCATGAGCACCGTCAGCTAGTACGTACGAGTTGTTGCAAGGATGATGAACATTCTACAATAAAATATGTAGTGGAGAGAGGTTCAATGCAGACGCCCATCTTTTCAGTTCATCTCGGTTATACAACATTTGCTAGACCTATGGTCAATGGATATTAATTGTGCCATTTTAGCAAAATAGCTAGCGATAGAGCATGCTACACGTTAGGTAGCTGCCACAGCGATGGTGCACATCATATCTCCGTATAAAGAACAACTAGAAAAATTAACTTTCCAAATGATGTACAGTAAATAATCATGGATATTTATACACAATAAGATTTGGATGTATCAATAGAGACGAAGTAACTAAGCTGGGACAAGCTATCAGGAATGTCAAAGATAAGATGAAGGCAAACATTGAGATGTTTTAACAGAAAGGTATGATAGAGAAACCGAGTAGATTGTAGAAATAGACTGATCATGTAAACGAGTTTTGAGCGAAAAAATCGAGAGAGAAAAAAATGTTCAACATTTTTGTTTTTCTCTCCTCTCCCCACAGTGATGATCATCAAGTGAAATTCTATTGGGGTGCAAAAGAATTATTTCTACCCGTGTATAAGGAAATGTTGAATGCAATGCATAAACATCCAGAGGCTCGTATACTAGTCAATTTTGCATCATTACGTGTTGCTTATGATGTCTGTATGGAAGCGATGAATGTTGATCGTATTCTAACTCATATTGATAATAATCATTATAATCATGAGAGTGAAACATATACCTATGAAATGAATCATCATATCAATGGAGGGTTGATAAATGAAGCACAAATGAAGTGTATTGCTATCATTGCTGAGGGTATACCGGAGAATTTCACTCGTCGTTTAATACAACGTTCTAAGCAAAGAAAGATATTGTTGATTGGTCCAGCAACTGTAAGTTTTGTTCTCTATGTTATCACTTTAATGTTGGATTCTGTTTGCGTTTGTTTCTTGTCAAGTATTGGATAATACGAGCTTATTTTAGCAGCTACAAACTCTTATCCACACACACACACACACACACACACACACACACACACACACACACACACACCTGAGGATGATCTACACATTAGACGAACGAATATTAATCCAGGAGTCGTGGGTTAGAACACTTTTGCATGTAGAGAGGTTTGTGTCGTCAGATAGTAGTATCGTTAGCCCTAAATAATCTAGAAGTAGTATTCATCACAGACTAATATCGATTGGGGAACCATTGAGAATCTAGGAGTATTGGATTGCCATGTGTTTCTTCCTAGTATGGGACCACTCAGCAGTACGTACGCTCAACCTGGTTACAAATCGAACTCAGGACCTTCAAGTTTCACGGCCAATAAGTTAATCATTAAGCCATTAGGTCAGTTTTCAGTGGATAATAAATAGTTCCCAAGTTGTGTCAATTCTCGATATAGCCCAACTATCACGTAATATCTTCAGTTGACATCCGCTTCCCTTCCGACTGGTTGACCCCACAGATCACGTTTTCTCATTAGAACTTTGTGATATGAATGTGGAAGCAAGTGAAGATCTTGAGTGAAGTTAGAAATTGTCAACCAATGGGAACCGACCCAGTGGCTGAATGGTTAACGCGTTCGCCGTGAAACCTGAAGGTCCTGAATTCGATTTGTATTCAGGTCTTGGGTGCGTACTGCTGAGGAGTCCAATACTAGGACGAAAAGACTGTCTCTCTAGTGCCCCCAAATTTGCAGTGGTTCTCCAACTGATGTCAGCTCATGATGATTACAATCTCTAAATTAAAAATCCCCATTCATCCCATAAATGCATTATCATTAATCTTATTTATTTAGTAATGATGGGCAGTGGCTAGCAGTGAAATCCAGGATGCACACTTCGTCCTATTTGGGACTCGTCAGCTGGATGTACCTGCTTCCCAGCGAGTGATGTTGTTCCCACCGGGACTCGGACTCGGGAGCGATGGCTTCAAACACCAGCGCGTTATTCGCTACACCACCGAGCCACGATAGTCACTTCTTGTGCGACGGGTATAGGTTTTAGTGTTATTGCTTGTATTACACCGTCGTTGATAGGACTGAGTTGATCAGCCTCTGTTGGCCTCTGTTGAAGCGATCGCTCCCGAGTCCGAGTCCTGGTGGGAACGACATCACTCACTGGGAAGCAGGTACATCCAGCTGACGAGTCCCAAATAGGACGAAATGCGCATCCTGGATTCCACTGCTAGCCACTGTCCATCATTACTAAACATAGTTAAAAGACAGGCTATATCGAGGCATCCGCATAGGAGCCTATATGCCAACAGAGGCTGACCGATTCGCTTATACAGTATACATAGTTCTTTGTTCCATATCACGATATAATTGGATGATCGTTAAGGTCACCACATTCTGTACCAAAACTTGATTATTCACTTGAAAACTTAATTATCATTTGACAATCTGAGATGACCATGATTTGGCAGACTAGTATTTATACTGGGTGATGATTGAAGCTGAAATGAAAAATCTGAACCACAGTCGGATTCCAACCGGCGATCAACGGATTTTCAACTGAATCACGAGGTTCGACTGCTAACCAGAGTTTTATTTCACCTTCAATCACCAAGAGTTTCACCCGACTATCATATGAATTTGTGACTAGTTACTACCGCTTGTTCATATTCACACTGGTGGCTGCCTAGTCAGGATTTCTTATCCCTATCCAAATCTAACTGAATGAAGTGAAACGAAAATCTGGTTAGTAGTTGGACCTCGTAGTCCAGTAGGTGTAGAGCATCGGGCTGGAAATCTGGTAGTCGCTGGTTCAAATCTGGCTGTGGTGCAAGTTTTTATTTTACCTTAAGTCATCACCCAGTTTAAATGCTGTTCTGCCAAACCACAGTTATTCTCGATAGTCAGATGATAATTATTGTTATTATTAGCTACTCTAGCTACAATCTGCATACACTCAAGTATCAAGGAATACAAAATGCTGAGCAGAATTAATGTATTATTTTCTTATCTCTTATATGCATATCTGTACAGTAGATTACCAATTAAGTGTTGTATACTATGAGTTAATGCTGTTGGGTAGCACATTATTATTACGGTTATTCATTATTTATCTCTTGGGTTCCTAGTGAAACATAGGGCTTCAGTAGCACATCTCCATTTCACTCTATTCTCCACAGTCTTTTCAACCTGGCTCCACGACTGCCCATAAACTTTCGTTTCTTCCTCACACGATCTCATCCATGTCACCCACAGTTGGGACGCTCAACTCGTCGTTTCCCATTTAGGGTCCACTTGATGACGTGTTTTGACGCTTGATGTTCCCCCCAAAATGGTCTTCTCAGTGTATGCTCAACCCATCTCCACTTTCTTTTGTTGGGCGATGGGTTGTTGGTTGATTCTTTCTTCTCAGAGTTCGTTGTTGCTTATTCGTTCTGACCATCTGATCTGATCTTTAGTATGGAGTGAGTGTAGACGGTAGCTGTTGATAAATGTCTATAGTCTGTTGGAAATGCTTTTCGTAAGACGCCAAGTCTCTCAACCATCACATAGAAGTACTGACTTGTCGTTGATGTTGAAAATCGGGATGTTGTTCACTCTTCATGCTGAGTGGAGTGCAGTGTAGTAGATCTCGACACTGATTTCAAATTAATGAATGGTAGCCTGTCTTGCTGTCTTTCCTATCCTGTCTGGTTTTGACATCCTCATCTGTGCCTGTGCAGCCACTTGTAATTGAGAGGATGCTGCCTAGGTAAGAAGGTAGGTGAAAGAGCCAACTTTGTTTATGGTGATTAGTGCTTGTTGTTGTTGTTGTTGGTTGAGTATCTTCATCACCTCTCTCTTCTCTACATTCACTTGAAGGAAGTCCCATCTTCGCTGCCCTGCCTCTTCTGTCAACTTGTTAGTTTTCACCTGTAGATCTTCGAGTTTGTTCAACATAAGTCATTAGACATAAATCATCATCGGTGATATCCAAATCTTCTAGGATCTTTTCTTTGGTCAAGCAGTGTATGTCCCATCTTGTTGGTTGGTAGTCTATCTTCTCTATATCGATAACTTAGAGTACATTCAACTGTGTATCATTTCAGCTGGTAACATCCAAAATGGTATATATTCAGTTCACATTAATTTGAAGGAGAAGAAGGAGATATGTCTAATGTTTCTTTGTAATTCGACTATAATCATAGATATATAGTAAAAAGTATACCTAATTTTGAAGATGAAGTTTAATTTGTATAATTGATGCTTAAAGTTTATTCTGTTTCAAGTTGTTATTCATCGAAGACTGACATCAGTTGGAGGAACAAAGGAGACCTGGGAGCACTGGACAGCTGTTTCGTCCTAGTATGGGACTCCTCAGCAGTGCGCACCCACGATGAATAACAACTTGAAATATTTCCAAATCTCCACAACCCCCTCAAAATTTATTCTGTTTATTTTTTTTAAATTTTATTGTATCATAAGGTTGGTGGATTAAAAGCTGGATGTTTCAAAATTGGCAATACAGGCGGAATGATGGATAATATACTTGCTTCAAGACTTTATAGACCAGGAAGGTTAGTTAACATGTCTTTGCTGATAATACTTAACTAGGTCTTCATTTCAGTTATCTGTATATACTATCCATTTAATGTGTTACTTTTTGTATATGCATATGTAAATATGTTTCATCTTGAATTGATTTCCTTACTTCTTAACGTTCTTTATGAAATTATACCTTGAAATGTGGTTGTACTAACCTGTAAGTAGGTAAAGTGGTTGTTGTACTCAAAGTCATCTACAACAACTAAGCCTAGTTACCAGAGTTTTAAGGTGATAACTGTGTTGTCAGCGTGGAGATTTGGAAATATTTCAAGTTGTTATTCATCGAAGACTGACATCAGTCGGAGGAACAAAGGAAACCTGGAAGCACTGGACAGCTGTTTCGTCCCAGTATGGGACTCCTCAGCAGTGTGCACCCACGATCCCACCAGCAGGGATCGAACCCGCGACCTTCGGGCTCCGCGACCAGCGCGTTCCCATTGAGCCACTGGGTCGGAATCCAATGCTCCATATTTCCAACTTCTTCGATGAATAACAACTTGAAATATTTCCAAATCTCCACAACCCCCTCAAAAGTTAATTGAACTAGTGCTCGTTGGTGACTAGCTTCGAGAAGTATTCCCGAAGTTCCAATGACAAGTCGTGACCGGTGGAGTCAAAGCCTGATGGTCGTGAGGACAAATACTCAACGATGACATTGGGTGGCGGTTTGCGCTATATCGTGAGCTAAGAGAAGTTGGAAATATGGAGCACTGGATTGTGACCCAGTGGCTCAATGGTAACGCGCTAGTCGCGGAGCCTGAAGGTCGCGGGTTCGATCCGTGCTGGTGGGGTCGTGGGTGCGCACTGCTGAGGAGTCCCATACTAGTTGGAGGAAACAGCTGTCTGTCCAGTGCTCCCAGGTTTCCTTTGTTCCTCCAACTGATGTCAGTCTACGATGAATAACAACTTGAAATTATTATTGTTATTATTTCATATTTTTCCAGTGTTGCCTATGTATCTCGTTCCGGTGGAATGTCAAATGAATTGAATAATATTATTTCAATAAATTCTGATGGTGTTTATGAAGGTGTAGCTATTGGTGGAGATCGTTTTCCTGGATCAACATTTCTTGATCATATTATACGTTATGAAAATAATCCTGAAGTTGGAATGATTGTTGTACTAGGTGAAGTAAGTGGAAAGTACACTTTATTCAATGTTCCTTTTTATTCTTGTTTAACTTCTAGTTTCTCTAATTAATATAAAATTACAATGACAGGCAGTATCAAAGCGTTTGAGCAGTAATTCATATGTTAATGGAAACCGATCATTTCGATTCATTCAACATCGGTATAATACGAGTAGTCGTATGAAAATTATACCTTTCATACAAGAAGTTGCTATCGTGACTTGGATAACGCTATGGCGTTCATAGCGAAACGGTATTGTCTTCATATCTTAGTGAGAACAACATAACCCATTGGGAGGCGCATACATCCAGCTGATGAGTCCAGGATTGAACCAAACACGCGGACTAGATTCCACTTCTAGCTACTATCCCTCATGAATAGGAAATATCGTCTTTGATAGTGTTTAGGCGCTCTCTAAGGTCCATTGTCTTCTTTTTGTTGACCCTGAATGGGAACCGGTAAATAATACTGTTCCACTGTGTTATGATACATTTAATAAATCAATTAAAACGATTGAATTTTTGTTAGATCGTTAAATACTTTAAGGAATTCTCTTGTCGCTTTCAAGCCTACTGTTTCGGAGAATCTCCACATCCTACCAATTAAATCTGTGTTTGTGATTTTCTATGTGCTATGAAACCAATCAGGTTGCATCATCTCGCTTTACTGCTATTCAGTACTAGTGAACTTTTTAAACGATCTGTAAGCCAGATTCCCTAGCATAGTATTGTGAATTGTATATTGCTAGGAGTACGGTTGTGCCTAACAGTTTCAAAATAGCGTATATAAACAAACTGAAAGTGTTGCCATGGGATCACCAATATCCCCTATCGTCGCCGACATATTTATAGATAGTTGGGAACAGATGGCCCTTCAAACATATAGCCCTAGTCCAAAGATATGGTTTCTATGTGTAAATGATATGTTTACAGTACTGAAATCGGAACACATCAATAGGTTCTTAGCATACATATAAATTCAGTAGTGAATGAAATCCAATTTACCTATGACTTAGAAAGTGATGAAGGTGAGCTAGCAATGTTAGATTGCAAGATTAAACGAACACAAGAAGGAAATCTATAGACTAGTATCTATAGGAAACCCACCCATTCAAATCGCTGCTTAGACTTAGAATCATTCCATCACATTTCAGTTAAAGTAGACCTAGTTAAATGCTTCAGGGATAGAGCGAAAAAGCTTACTAGTAGATCGGAAAATCTGCGACAAGAAATTAGATACATCAAGAACACCCTACGTCTCAATAATTACTCACGAAAATTCATAAGAAATCGAAAGAAAAATATTAGCAGTGGTAGTAGTAGTCGTAATAATAATACAGATGTTATTAATAATAATCCTACTACTAACGGTTACGAATGGTAAGAGGGTCGAGAGAGAATTCGAAGCCTCTACTGTGTTACCATACAAAGAGGGCACCTTGGAGGCATTACGAAGAATTTTCAATAACGTTGGCTGGGATTAAAGTGGTATTTAAACCAAGAAACTCGCTTAGAAATAAGCTTTGTAGATTAAAAGATCCTATTGATGCGATTAGGCAAAATAATCTGGTTTACCAGATCCCTTGAAATGATTGTTAGGTCAAATCTATAGATGAAAGTAGTTGACCTGGATCGATTAGAATAACAGAGCACAAAAACTTAGCTAAATCATTATCAGTAGATCCTAATAAGATAAGAAATATTTTGAGGAAAAGCTTGGTTATAGCGTTGCACGCAGTAACACTGATAACAATACAGTAGGATGGAATAGAGCGACAGCGTTAAAAATTAACTTAATTGGGTGGAGGTAGGGAGAGATTGATAACGGAATCTTTGTCATCGAATCAACACTAAATACATGCATCTATACCAGATATATGGAACACTATACTTCACTTGTCATCACGGAGAAGGAGGGAAAATAAGGAGTATACAAACTCTGTCTCGAAGTTGTGGAGTTACCTGTTGATATGACTATAGACAATAAATTGTGTCGGAAACTTTGTTATCCAGTAAATGATACTGTTGCTTCACTGTCTTACATTTCTAATAAACAAATGAAAATGGAATTACAATTTACCACAGTGTTGAAGTTTTACTCCCTCCCTATATTTTGCTTATAATTGTGAATGCATTAAACTTGTCGGTTAAGCTAAGAGGATTAAGCATTTTGTCTAATTGTATCGGTTAGCATGATAAAACAAGCTGTTATACACACAATACTTGTACGTCATATATATTGGATGCATTGATTAGTGAATGGAGATATATGCAATACAACAGTAACTCTTCTTCATATATTCAACTATTTGGTTAGATTTCTTATTAAGCAGTTCAAAGTGGATGAACCAATGATTGGCGGTCATATCTCCATATCTTCACTGATTGAAAATTTGCCTTTCCACATGCGAATTGAAAGAAATCTAATCAATTGTCAACTAGGAACAAAGAATATTCCTTTGTCAATAACTTCTCATCGGATTCTACAATTATAAAATCAATTTCGTTGTGTCTCGTAAAAGAATCGAAGATGCGCGTTTTGTCTTATTTAGAACTTGTCCTAGATTTTTCTGCTAGCTATAATCAAGCAAAATTGGGGAACCATTGAAAATCTGAAAGCACTGGACAGCTGTTTCGTTCTAGTATGGGACCACTCAGCAGTACATACGCACAACCTGGTTACAAATCGAACTCAGGACCTTCAAGTTTCACGGCCAATAAGTTAATCATTAAGCCATTAGGTCGGTTTTCAGTGGATAATAAATGGTTCCCAAGTTGTGTCAATTCTCGATATAGCCCGACTATCACGTAATATCTTCAGTTGACATCCTCTTCCCTTCCGACTGGTTGACCCCACAGACCACGTTTTCTCATTAGAACTTTGTGATATGAATGTGGAAGCAAGTGAAGATCTTGGGTGAAGTTGGAAATTGTCAACCAATGGGAACCGACCCAGTGGCTGAATGGTTAATGCGTTCGCCGTGAAACCTGAAGGTCCTGAATTCGATTTGTATTCAGGTCTTGGGTGCGTACTGCTGAGGAGTCCAATACTAGGACGAAAAGACTGTCTTTCTAGTGCTCCCAAATTTCCAATGGTTTCTTAACTGATATTAGTTCATGACGAATACTGCTTCTAAATTAGGAGAAAAAAAAATCCCCATTCATCTCAAAATTATCATAATTAACATTCAGGCAATATCGAAGCATCCGCACACTAACGCATATGCCAACAGAGGTGGGACAATTCGATCCAATAAAAACAGTGGAGAATTATAAGCTTATCAATAAATCGTAATACAATTTAAGTCCTTGAGCTTGTGAATGGTAGTGTCATTTATGCATATATGAGTCAATTGTGGTGATAAGTTGAGTGTCAACTTTATCAATTGATTGGTTCATCAGATGTATATGGGGAAGGCAAATTATTAACAAAGTTCAAGGTTGTACATTATGTCAAATAAGTGAATAGTACAAAGAATGATGACATGAATTTACTTAAGGGTAACAGATGGTTATTATAGTAAATGGGTAAGATAATGAGAAGAGTAATAATGCGAAAAAAAAGGTTAACAGGAACTTTAAAGGTTTATCATAATGAGATAGAAGGAAAGTTGGGTTGAAAAATAACCCTTATAATAGTAATAATAATTTCTTTATCATTTGACTATCTGAGATAGTTGTAGTTTGAAGGTGAAGTGATAATTTGAACTACAGCCGGATTCGAACGAGGGACCGCCGGGTTTTCGGATCGATGGCCTACCAACTAAGCTACGAGGTCCGAGCGTCGAGCTGGAAACCCGGTAGTCGCTGGTTGGAATCCAGTCGCGATCCAAATTTACACTTCACCTTCAGTCATCACCCAGTATAAATAATAATTTGGTTTTTTATTTTAAAGAGAAAGAAAAGAAGAGAGCGGGTAAGAAAAAAATAAAAAGGGTTGAGGGGATACTGTTTAATCAGTGGAAAGCTAAGGGAGGAGTAGGGCTTGTACGTGTTCTTTTTGAATTCATAGTTCATAATTCGTTAATCTTATACCTACATCTTACGCTATATGGAGAATGCGTAAAAGAATGGCATATGCTAGAGTCTTCGGAACACAGTGTATGACAATGAAAGCTGTGCTAGCACCTATTTAGCGTTCTGTATTTATTAGATGTGCTAGTATAGAACTTCTGATGGGTTTGATCTCACCCTTTACAAACCATCCCGGTAGATGTTCTTGTATCCTGAGATGGACATGTCTACTGGCAGGCCGTATATAACTTGTTCCACAGCAACAGTTGAATGTGTATGATGATGAGCTGAAATCAGGTAAGGCATCCTTAAGTCTCGGGTTGAACAACAGCTGGCTATTAAAAGATAACCATAGACATCCTGAGTAAGACGTTCTATTTATTCCTGTAAATAGACGATGGGATAGACTTTCACTCAGAGTCTCTCCTTTCCATTGAAAACACAGAAACAAAGGTTTTTCTCTGCACACTTGTCACTTCGTGTTTTTCAATACTATGAGGGATATTTGCTTTTATAAACTTCTCTGGATATCCTTTCAAAGTATCCTGAAGGACTTATAATTCTCTCTCGACACATTCTTCAGAGCAGATCAATCTTGGTCTAAACGCTAAACATCTGTTAACATTCCGTTTGTATTGTATTGGTACACAACAGAGGAAATGCGTATACTATGCTTTGGTTGTCTTCTTATATACACTTCGTTCCAAAGAACCGTCTTCTTTTCTTGTCATTAGGACATGAAGAAAATGAAGAAAGTTATTGCCGTCACATTCACATGGATGATTGTTATTGAAGTGGTTGAGGACTGGATCAGTAGGATTGTGTTTACTATAGACTAGAAATGTTTCATCCATATACCGACCATACAAATCTATGTTGGCAATGATCCATTATATAATTTAGATAAAAATATATCAGCAAATATAGGGCCCAGTAGGGATCCCATAGCCACATTGTTTATTTGTTTATACATTTTGCTGTTGAACAAGAATTGAACATTCATTACTCACAAGACCAGCAACTCTCTTAAAGACTATCAATATGGACGTCTGTACTCATCTTCCTTTCTACCAGCTGTTTGTAGATAGAGTTCACAGTTTCAATGGGAGGAACATTAGTAAATAAAGATATGACATTGAGAGATGCCATACAGGTATTGATAACATTTACGTTGCTTAATCTGTTTACGAAGTGGAAGGTGTCCTGACTAGCTCATCCCGAAGTGGCTGTATCATTTTTACTAGCCACTTTGCAATCCCATCGTAAGCCGAGTATGACATGTCTAGGATACAGTGGAGTAGTGGTACTTCAACTTTAAATATCTTTGGTAAGCCATACAGACAAGGAATCGTACTGTCTACGGAGCTTAAAATTGTCAAGCATAGCTGAAGATTGAAATACTGTTTCGTCTTGCTGTATGGCGCTCCTTTTTCATGATATAATCTTCTTTGTCTATAATCGCGACATTATTATTATTATCATATTATTTGGCCTTTGGGTTCCTAGTGGAACATATGGCTTCAGTAGCACTCCGTTCTTTGCAGTCTTTCCAACCTGGCACCACGACTACTCAAAAGCTTTCATTTCTTCCTCACAGCATCCCTTCCATGTCACCGTCCGATGCCCAGCTCTTCGTTTCCCATTTTGGTTCCACTCGAGAGCCTGGCCTGACCTGGCGCTTGATGTCCCCATGTGGTCTCTTCAGTGTATGCCGAATCCAAGTCTCTGCATGAACCATATAAAAGCACTGAATTGCTTGACTGAATTAGCGTTGAAAATCCGGAACCCATTCCACATGCTGAGTGCAGTCGATATACACACTGATTTCACATTAATGAACATCTATTTTGCTGTCTTTCACATCCTGGTTGGCTTTGACATCCTCATCTCTGCCTGTGCCGCCCCACGTAGTTCACACGATACTGCCTCCTAGCTAGCTAGGTAGGTAGGTAGGTGGAAGAGACAACTTCCGTTGATGGTGATTGGTGTTTGTTGTTGTTGTTGCTGCTGCTACTGGTGGTGGTGGCTGGGTATCTGCATCACCTGTGTCTTCTATACGCTCACCTGAACGAAGTCTCGTCTTCGCTTCCTAACCTCACCTCACTTCACCTCGCCCCGCCCCGCCCCGCCCCACCTCTTCTCCCAACTTGTTACTTCCCACCTGTACATCTTCCAGTTTGTGCGACATCAGACATTTGACATAAATCATCACTGGCCAAATCAAAATCTTCTAGACTCTTTTCATCTGTCAAACAGTCAGAGTATGCCCATCTCCTCACAGCTCATCACAGTTTCTTTCATCATCTAGTCCACTCGACCACAATCAGGAAGATCATCATCAGTGATAGTAGGCGGTAACCTTGTCTTAGTCATGACACCAGCGCATTTATCAGGTCTAGTGATAACTACGTTCTTGTTCATTCTTAGCTGCTTTGCAGCTTCATGATGCTCTTTAGGCGTATACCTGATAGCAACAATCTACTAAGTTAGATTTAAATCTTTCTTACTCTGTGTCAGATGAGGCAACTAAATCAGTCGTTTATGCAAAGAAATGCTCAAACTGTACATCTGTAACTATTAGATTAACTTACCTGCTAATATCACAAAACTTAGGTCAAAGAGACAGTATTGAAGATCGTCTCTCAATAGATGTAAAATCATCTGGAAACATTAGATCCGGTGATTTCAGCATGGGTTACACGTGTCATCCTAACGGCTTCCATGCAGTCCATTGTTCTGCTAACCCTTGGTCAAGATGGATGAAGCGGAAAGATGGTCAGTCTATGCAGTGGCTCCTTGAGATGAAGGATAGTTGTATTGAGTTAGCATCTGTTGTTCTATCATGAAACATGCATATGTAAAAAAAAAAACTAATGTATATTCCGTTGGTGTTTATATTAGGTTGGCGGTGTAGAAGAATATGCAATAATTGAAGCTGTTCAATCAGGTAAAGTAAAAAAGCCAATTGTAGCTTGGTGTATTGGTTCTTGTGGTGAATTATTGACTACACAGAATACTAATGATACCGGCGGTGGTTCAATTCAATTTGGTCATGCTGGTGCATGTGCAAATTCACTTAGAGAAACTGCGACAGCTAAAAATACTGCATTGGCTAATGCTGGTATACATGTTCCTGCATCATTCGATGAATTAGATCTACTCATACGGTAAGATGATTTTTCTGTGTTCTATCTTATAGTTCTATTTAGTATTATGGTGGATCATACCTCTATTGTGCTAGTGGTTAGTCGACTCAACTGACTTGTAATGAACTGCATTATAAACTCAATAAAAAATGTGATCACTTATTGTAAAAGGTTTGGAAGGAAGGAAGGAAAGGTACCTGCCAATTGATTGGAAGAAGGGCTACCTTGTCAAATTCACAAACAAGGGAGACCTAAGTGTTTGCAAGAACTGGCGCGGAATCATACTCCACTCCAATCAGAATGTATTAAGCCTCATCATCCTGGAGAGACTGAAAAACGCTCGGTATTGAAGATTACGACGGGAAGAGGCTGATTAGCTGAGTGACTGGGTGACTGGGTGGCTGGTTTGAGGAAGAACAAATCATGTGTGGATGAAATTGCAACGGTATGCTGTGGATCATCGTAGAACCGAGCATAGAATGATAGTGAACTGGATATCTACCTCGACTTGATGGATTTTGATAAGGTGTTCAACCGAGAATAAATTTGTCAGCTGGTTCAACACTACGAGTTAAGTGCGACAAACGTTAATCGAACTAATTCAACAGCAGCTATGTGATGATGATGATGATGCAACATGGCAAGATATTGACAATGGGAAGGTCAGTGATGTGTTTGAAGTGAAGTGAAGTGAAGTGAAGTGAAGACAGGTAGAGAGATAAGACAAGGTTACCGCCTACTATCACTGATGATGATCTTCCTGATTGTGGTCGAGTGGACTGGATGATGAAAGAAAGTGTGATGAGCTGTGAGGAGATGGGCATACTCTGACTGTTTAACAGATGAAAAGAGTCTAGAAGATTTTGATTTGGCCAGTGATGATTTATGTCAAATGTCTGATGTCTCACAAACTGGAAGATGTACAGGTGGGAAGTAACAAGTTGGGAGAAGAGATGAGGTGAGGTGAGGTGGGGCGAGGTGAGGTGAGGTGAGGCAGCGAAGACGAAACTCCATTAGGTGAGCGTATAGAAGACACAGGTGATGCAGATACCCAGCCACCCCGCCACCACCACCACCAGCAACAACAACAAACACCAATCACCATCAACGGGAGAAGCCTAAAGGAAGTTGTCTCTTCCACCTACCTACCTACCTAGCTAGCTAGCTAGCTAGCTAGCTAGGAGGCAGTATCGTGTGAACTACGTGGGGCGTCACAGGCAGAGATGAGGATGTCAAAGCCAACCAGGTTGTGAAAGACAGTAATGCAGGCCTTAATGTGAAATGAGAGTGTTTATCTACTGCAGTACAGTGCACTGCTCTCAGCCTAAAGTGTGAACAGGATCCTAATTTTGGAATAGTAATTGAGTTAAGTAATTCAATGCTTGTATGTGATGGTTGAGAGAGTTGGTGGGTTACAAAAAGTATATTGAAGAAACTGCAGACATAGATGAACAGCTGTTGCCTACAGTCGATACTGAAGATGGAGATGAGATGTGTGGTTAGAAGGAATAAGTAATGATGAAGTGTTGCCTGTCAATGAACCAATTAAGAATTTATCGCTCAAGAAATGCTCAGGAGAAAGTGGAGATGTATTGAATTGTGGATAGAGTGAGAAGACAGTTTGGGGATATGATGCACCAGGTGATGTCAGGTCGTCGAGTGTGAGTGAAATGGGAGGGGATGAGTTGAGTGTGAGAGAGTGATATGGAGGCGATGGTTTGAGGAATAAATGGAGCCTCTGGGTGGTCATGGAGCCAGGATGAGAAGACTGGAGGGAAGAGATTTAAATGACGATGTGCTACTGAAGTCATATGTTCAACTAGGAACCCAACTGACAAATAATATTGAATCTTGTCAGTTAAGGTGAAATCGAAGTTGATACGGTGGTAACAAGAGAAATCGACATGAGTAAGCACTTCTTTTGATTTGTCGGAAAGCTTAATGCGGTGGAATATTTAGATATCTCTAACTGAGACACTTTTTGGTTCATGACTTTCTCACTGATCACTTGACCACGAATAAATAGACTTACCTAAGTTGTTTCTCTCTGTTTTTTTGTTAGTCAGGATGTCACAGCTTGATATACCTGCCTCATTGGAGAGAGGGTTTTTCATATTTTGAGGCTTGAATCCTGTGCCTATCGGCCGAAAACGCCACAGATGCAAATAACTATGCTTGGACTTAACTGATCCTTTCTTCTTGGCATATGGCTTTCTTGAATGGACGCTTCATTGTTATTGATTGAACTTTCATTCCAAGACCTACATTTCGTCTGGTTTGAGATGTATCAGCTGGTCAAGTGTAGTTATCAAGCATCAGTAATATAACAGAAATGAATTGAACACCTAACTAAGTTGATGTTTGCTGGCTTTCACAACAGACAGTGGCACAAAAGGAGGAGATCAGTTTGTTTGACAACAGATTTGGATGACTTCATGACTGTAAAGCATATATTCCATGTCTCGACAGTGTTTCAAGCCGTTAACATGTTCTATTTTTCTTTTACAAGTAATAAAATCTAAAATAGTTTTGAGGGAGTTGTGGAGATTTGGAATTATTTCAAGTTGTTATTCATCGTACACTGACATCAGTTGGAGAAACAAAGGAAACCTGGAAGCACTGGACAGCTGTTTCGTCCTAGTATGGGACTCCTCGGCAGTGCACACTCACGACCCCACCATCAAGGATCGAACCCGCGACCTTCAGGTTCCGCGGCCAGCGCGTTACCATTGAGCCACTGGGTCGGAATCCAATGCTCCATATTTCTAACTTCTGTTAGCTCACGATATATAGCGCAACCGCCACCCAATATCATCGTTGTGTAACTGTCCTCATGACCATCAGGCTTTGACTCCACCGGTCCACGGGGAATACTTCTCGAAGCTAGTCACCAATGAGCATCAGTGGGCTTACAGAAGTTGGAAATATGGAGCATTGGATTCCGACCCAGTGGCTCAATGGTAATTTAGTTTTATCAGTTTTTCCGTCTGAGATTAAACGTGGACAATACAATATTGCTTGATGTGTATTTGGTGACCATTTCCCTTTATATGGTACTTATAATCCGACTGGCTCATTGGTGTAACACCTTCAACTAGTCATGAGAGAAGTATGGTGTTTCACTTGTAGATGGTAGATATGCAGTACTGTTGACTGTTAAGAGGTATGAAACCTTATTTCTTTCGGCTTCTTCTACACAATCGTTTCCAATCACGTGATATCATTACTTTTTTTTTACTTATTTAGATGTACTGGTATTTCACAGCTTTGTTTTGGTGGAACTGTAGTCGATTAGTGTAGGCACTCGACTTTCAACTCGTGAGTAGGCTATGGGTCCAAAAATCGTGTTTCGTCTACCCAGGATTTCAGTGGCGCCCGAATAGTATGACTACCTGTCACATAGTAATGTGTACAAGGTTGCTGAGTACACTTCCCTCTTCTCTTCATATGACTAACATCAAAGTTATCTTAGCAATAGTTAATCGATTGCGCCATCCTGTAGAAATCATACTAGCACACAAGCTAACGAGATGACTACACAACATTTACAAATCAAAGGATCCATTGCCCGAAAGTAGACAGGAAAAAGTATAATCTACAAAGTTGATTACAGAAACCGTTCATAGAATTATGTTTTTCCAGCCTAACCATTGAATCGGTCAAAGAATTCATGAATACCAACTAGCAGTAAAGTGACACGATGCAGCCTCCTTGATTTTAAAGTGTATGCAGACAATTATGATCCATAAAAGAGTACGTTTGAATACTGCAAGACAATTTCTAGAAGTATGACATTCAAATGAAGTGTAAATTGACTGAACAAATCAATAATGATGTACATAGTATGACAATAAAAAACAGCACAATTTCGTAGGATGTTCAACTTCAAAAGAGGTTAGAATGTATGCTAAAGAGTCTTTTCTCCAACTTACAATTGGACAACACTCAAGGTCATTAAGGACAGTCGGTGAATACATTGTCTGGAATTATAGCCAATATAAATTAACGTCAAATATACTAGTTAGAATCACTTAACTTGGAAGTAATGATGGCATGCATATTATTATCTTGCTATATGCCTCTTATTTTGTATAGCTTTTGCCTAATATTTTGCTCATGACCTTAAAATAACCTATCATGAGTGTTTTTATAGGGTTGTTAGTTTTTCTTTCCTCTGCTATCAAGGCTGAATTCTCATTGGTTGTTAACTATTCTTACCTTTAGCGTTGTCAAGGTCATTTAGAAATGTAGCTCACAGACTGTTAGGTTGTACTACCCGGTCATAGTACACCTATAACTAACTAGATTTCTAGATTACTCATTTCAGTAACCATGTAGACATTTCACTTTGGTTAGCGGATTGGTTTTGCGTAACCGTCATTTCATCTACGAATTAAACTACTCTGTGAGGCCTATATAAATTTTATTTTCAAGTTTTGAATGTCATCTGAATTAAATAATATTCTATATTTTTTTTTCTGTTTATTTGTTTTCATTTCCAATTAATCAGTCGAGTTTTTGATGATCTTGTACGTAATGGTCAGTTGATACCAAAACCGGATCATTCACCTCGAACTGTTCCAATGGATTATTCATGGGCAAAAGTAGGTTAATTTCTTAATATTTTTATACGAAATTAATTTTGTGTAAATACTTTTGCATTCTACAGATGTTCCAGTCTTTACGCTATATTGTTGGCATGACACCACAGAGCCTACAGTTGCATTATAATATTTAACTCTCGGAAATCAACGCAGAATGTGTAGTTTCCATTGAAATTTCTTACTAAAAACACTGGTGAACTGTTTGGGCTATCAGCCTCTTCAATAATGCCTTCATTTAGCATATCTTGAATCTGGCGCCGAACTTCTTCCAAGAGATATGGTATACGCTGTGTATATAAATGTTGTCATTGCTTGACTTATCACTGGGACTTCATGCTGAACCTTATCTCCTGTGAACAATCTGTCATGTTTCTTAATCGACTTCATGATGTTTGGCGCTTCTGAATGTGATGCTCTCGATACCTTAATCTCTGCTACCTCGTTGTTTTCCTGCCTAGTGGAATGTCCCGTACCTTGTCGCCACTATTCTTGTTCTTGTGTTAATAACTGCACCCACTTCTGTCAAAAAATCAGTACCTAGAATTGTTCGTTATAGAGACGTGGTGATAATGTATGGAAATCTAATTTCCCGACTTTTGATCTTGGCGACACAATCTGATAAGCCTGGAATTTCTAATGCATGTCCACTAACCGTATGGACCGTTAGAGCATATAGTCTTATGCTCTGAGACTGACTCTCATCTGACAGCAAGACTCCCGCTACCTTATCTATTAGATACACAATCTCCTGATCATCTATACGCATTCTAGCGTACATAACACCTCTTTGCTTCCATTTAAGCCTACATTAACTTATCTAGTATGCCTCAGTAGTGTGCATTGATAATCTTTTCAAGGGTTGAAATTAACAGAAGTTGGAAAATATAGAGTCCAGGATTTGAACCCTGGCGAGGTCATTCGTGTGTACTACTGGGAATTCCTATAGTAGGATGAAACATCTGTCCAGTGCTTTCAAATCTTTAATGATTCTCCCTGACTGATGTCAGTCTGTGATGGATATCATCTTAAATTTCGTTATCTACTGTATACAATGTAACATAATAAGAATACGTTAGGTGTTTCCAAATATTATGAGAATATATGCATGTGGTCGTCTGTATGTTCTACTGTATGACTGTGAAACATGACCATTAAAGGTAGAAGACATGAGAAAGCTTCAAGTGTTTGACCATTGTTACATTCGTGGCACAGGCCGCGTTTCGTGGTGTCACCACGTGAGTAACACAGAAGTGAGGTATAGAGTTTTAGAGAGGAGAGGAGAGATAGTTAACGACATTGTGACCCTTCATCGACTGAGATGTCTGGCTAACTGGTTGGGCTGTGTTACGTATGCCTAATCACCGTCAACCTTGTCGCTTAATATTGATCGAAGTAGTTTCAAGCTTAAAAAAGGCTCGGGATGGTCAGACTTAAACATGACATCAATGCATGGTGTGGATGACTGTTGCTATGATCCATGTAGAGCGATGTAGAGTAGGCGGTTGTGGTCAGCTGGACTAGAGTAACCAGTGGTTGGAGAGTGGCTGTAGATGATATGACTGCGAACCGGTGTCAATGGCGCAGATGCATGCGTACATTATCCTCACATTAACCTCCATACCTTCTTTGATAGATTTTTCTCTCCTTCATCAGCTCCCGCTTTATTGCCTTGTTACTTGATGTGTTGATATGAGATAGGGTATGACAACTTGGACCGTTAAGCAGTAATGCCTGGTCCTATGTTGAACTTGAGTGAGTGAGTGAATGAGTCAAAGCAAGCTGGTGGAACGCTTGTTCCCTATAGGTCTTATCATACCTTTGAAGTCAGTTGGTTAGTAGTAAGGTTAAAAGGAATGACCGTTGTTGCTACGCTCTGATGAGGGTCTGAGGGTGAATCGTGCTGTTAACTGGATGGGAGGCGGTGATAGCAGTAAGATATTTTCCGCGGATGACTATACCTATACTGATTTCTGTTATGAAGGGGGTAGAGGTGCATTCCCTTCTACCCTGTGACATACCTATGTCAGTAATATGGGTGTTCGCATTCGGAGTCGAAACTTTTGAGTAAGATGTATGTGATTGACCTCAAGTTGATATCCCTTGAGCTCTACAATCACGCATTATCTTTTCTAGTTACCTCAAACAGACGGTGTGGTCACCTGGGAAGTGTTAACTACCATCACAATTCTGCAAGCACTCAACATCGCTTAATCTTGAATCCAAATTTACTCAGTTCGTACTTCAATTGTGTAGTGACTTTTCCTAATTCGATCACTCGATATTTAATCCAGAGTGTATATCATTTTCTGTGATTCTATTCAGGATACACGAAGTTAACTCCTTGATGGATATGTTCCGTTAACACACACACACGTGACTTTCTAATTTTCAATATTAGAACAAGCACTTAAATCAACAAAGACTATTCCATATTACGTAATCAAGAAAGAAAATTTGTCTCAGTTGTATTGTGTTCTCTGACCTGGGTTGTTTAATCGGGGAGACACTTTCAGCGTCTCGCTAGACAACGACATCATCACCACTAACTTCAGTTTGAAGTAGTGAGCTATCAATATCTCTCCGTGACTGATTTAGTAGCTTGCTGTGAGATGTGATTGGTTGTCTCCTTCGATTGTTGTGTTATTGATTGTATAGACTTTCCTGTTGTCTGTTCCTCTACTTGACCTCTGACCGGTCCCGATTCAAGATGAAATGAAGGCTTAGGCTGCGACATGGTTCGAACCCGTGCCGTCTGGATTGCCGACCCTAGACTCTTGCTCACTTCAATATTTGCTTGTTTATCATATGATTACGTTTCTTCATTTTAATGACGCTTGGTAAGCAGCTAGGTATGAGTGACTTTTAAGTTAGCCTATCAACTCCTTAGAATGATTAACGCGTTCGCCGTGAAACCGGAAGGTCCTGAGTTCCACCCCTAGCCGGGTCGTGGGTGCGTACTGCTGAGGAGTCCCCTACTAGGACGAAACAGCTGTCCAGTGCTCCCAGATTTTCAATCCTTCCCCAACTGATGTCCGTCCATGATGAATACTACTTCTATAACCAATTACATTTCTTCATTCTGTGAGCAAGTACCTTCCTAGCCGAAGTTCTGATATTTGATTAGTTGCTTGAGCTGTTACTGAGATACTTTCTAAGGGATTAATCTAGGCTTTTCTTGACGAGGAGTAGCAGCGTCTTATTGATTACTATTGGGACCATCTGAGATAGACATGGTTCAGGAGACGAATGTAAATAGTCGAAATTAATCTCGAGCAGTTGTCATCTAGTTTCTGATCTGTCTGTCCACGCTGTATATATATATATATAATCGAAAAATATCACCTGATACTCATGATTACCGTCTACGTGGACTGATTTAAGCAATGAGAAGTTTAGACGGTCACAAGAGGAGGGTGATGATGTCATAACAGTTATCCATCTCCAAGTAGTATTCACATCATGGACTGATACCCAGTTGGGGAACCATTAAAAATCCCACATTCATCTCAAAAATTATCCATTTCATTATTTTCTACAATACTTGTAGCATAATCTTTACAAAATTATGAGAAATTTTTTAAATGGCAGCCTGAAAAAAACAAAAATGTCCTTTTAGGGTAGCATCTATACCTGTGACTATAACTCCATAAAACTCAAAAATAGAGAGAAAAAGGAAGAGAAGGAAGGAATGAATGTAACCACACACACAGACACACAAAAGGTTATACAGTAGGAGCTTGACTGAAACTTATTCAAGACAAGAGTAGATATAGAAAAGAATAAATTTTGAGGTAAACTTAACAGATCGATTAGTATTGCAACGAATAGAAAAATGACATGGAGAAGACTTTCTTTGCTTGGTAATGAAAATCAATGATCCATTCTATTGGCTAAGATTATTATCAAACCAACAACTACTAGAAAAATAAATAAGTAGTATATATATATATACTACTTATGTATTCCTTCCTTCTCTTCCTTTTTCTCTCTATTTTTGAGTTTTATGGAGTTATAGTCACAGGTATAGATGCTACCCTAAAAGGACATTTTTGTTTTTTTCAGGCTGCCATTTAAAAAATTTCTCATAATTTTGTAAAGATTATGCTACAAGTATTGTAGAAAATAATGAAATGGATAATTTTGAGATGAATGTGGGATTTTTAATGGTTCCCCAACTGGGTATCAGTCCATGATGTGAATACTACTTGGAAATGGATAATTGTTATGATATCATCACCCTCCTCTTGTAACCGTCTAAACTTCTCATTGCTTAAATCAGTCCACGTAGACGGTAATCATGAGTATCAGGTGATATTTTTCGCTGATTTTTCTGTTAATAACAATGATGCTTCATTCTATGGGTTGTCTGTTTTGTTTTGTGAATGTGGGTGTAGTCAACTACTGTGACTACTGTCTTTTGGCGTTGGTGTTGGTGTTGGTGTTGGGCAGTATTCTCCTTTGAGATGAGACCAAATCTCTCTCTCTTTCTCTTAGCATCTTCCTTCATAGTAAGGTATACAGAAACAGGCTGATTTTTGTGGCCAAGTTTAATCCTGAAACCTATTGGCATCTATGCCAGCTGACAATCATAATTACACTGCAGATTTTGTATTGATTTTATATTTCTTCTCCTATTCCTATCTTCATCGTCAAATAATCTCAGTTTCTCCAAGATGGGGATGTTTCTGACAAACAAAAAAACTGTAAGTGTGTCAACCGTCTAATTGAATAAGTGATAACAAACTGTTCATGTGATTAGGTTGTGTTTCTTCAGTCCAAGGAAGTTAATCAGGCTTATAGTGCAAAAATACCACCAACAACCATAGAACTATCAGTGAACACAAACCCTCTGACAAAAGCAGAAATGAAGTCCTGAATGCCATCAGGTTACTGAAAACTGGAAAGCAATGGGACTAGATGAAATTCCACCAGAAGCACTGAAAACAGAAGCAGGGACAACAGAGGACATGCTCATACCACATTAGTATTGCAGAAGGTTT